AGCACATGTATAAAAGCACACGTATGAAAGCACATGTATAAAAGCACACGTATGAAAGCACAGACAATTATCTTTCATAATTAAGTTATGACATAACTTTGTGTTGTATGATCACATGGACAAAGACCCATGGAGGACACAAAAGTACAAATAATTAAGACACAGGTGAAACAAGCAACAGCAAAACAAAACACGCAAAAACAAAACCGTCACATGGTCAAACAACAGCTCCAGCGGATGATGTTCGCGTATCTTCCATGTGACGTTAGTGACTTTTACTTGAGAACAATTTGCACCTGTGACATATTTACGGCAGGATCCCTCGGGCAGAAAGAAAATTGTAGTCACGGAGCAGCAGAGTGAAAACATACATTTAAAAAAGAAAAGAAAATATTTTCAAATGAAACTGTGATTTATTCCAACAATTAAAAAAAAATGTTACCTGGACTCAAATACTTGTGTTGCAAGTGAATTATTTGAGTCACAGTCGTCGGGGTCATATATTTTTTCTCGTCCTTCTTGTCTTCACTTCACTCTGGAACTCCAACAACACTTTGAAAAATGTGAACTCATTTGTTTTGCTGATCTGGTGACAGCTCTCTCAACACGCAGTGTTTTTTAATTAACAAACCCACATGTGTCAAAATGCCTGATGTTCAGATAACTCCTGTTGTTTCTTTAGACTTTGAAAGGTTTGAAAGTTTGAATCAGCTTGAATCAGCTTGAATGCACGACCGCCTAAATCAACTGCTGTGAATAAACTTGTGCGACAACAGCAAATGAAAAGTTCCAACAGTTGCTGACAACAGAGTGTGTGTCATGTTACAGCGAGTAATTGTTGCCTGTTACCTCACAAGGAAACTGTTTTCTTTTCCCCGCAGACTTTCTCCTCATCCGCAGACTCACAATCAAGTTTGTGCTCATTAGAGGGTTTTGTAATAATCAGGAGGATTACTGCTCGACTCTCTACAAATGTCTTCTTTTTCTCTTCATCAAAATCGATTCATCAATCTGTGGGAAATCTGTCTCGTGAGGTTGATGGAAGGTTTAAGAAGTTCCTGTAATAGATTTCTTTCCATGAACAAAGACATAAAGCAATCTGCAGGAAATCTTCACAAAAATTAAGGGATTAAGTAATTAAGTGAAAGGGAACTACTGGCAGAAATGTAATGTAGAATAATCCTCGTGATGTTTTCACTGGTTCATCTCATCTACATTGTATGAATTGTAGTTTTCTTTACCCCAGAAAAGACCCTTTATATTTAAATACTCTATATTTTCATGGAGGGGCCGCCATGTTTTTTACATTAGGCCAGACTGGACAAACTAAACAAGCTGCAACGTGACACTTCAGCACTAGATATCACAAAGTTCTACACACTGAACCTTTAAAATCTGATGTGGATCTAAAAACTCATAAAATCATTTCTGTCTCATGCCAATTTACCAAAGTTGCTCCAGGGTTTATTTATCATTACAGGATATTTTTTATCTGATTATTCAGAGACACGTGAGTTGCCCTTTAGGTTGTTTTTCGGACACCTCGGTGAATATGTCAGTGAACCGATCAAGGTGCTTTATAGGAAATGTGAAACCCGCTGTTTTTGGATATTGAACCAAACCAGCGGCAGAAAGTCAAGACTTCTCCACCCCTGCTCAGGTTTTCCTATTTTTTGATTTGACTTAGCGAACTTTATTTGAAGGAAATAAAATATATTCCGCACACCACTTGACAACAGGAAATCTTTTAAAAAACGTCATCCACATATTTTTCAAACTGGGATTTACAGCCAGCTTCCTCATTTTTTCTTTCCCCTGATATAAACTCTGGAGATTAATAGGTCACATCTCTTTCTTTCCCCGTTCCTCTTCATACTTGATATGATTAGATTCCAGGTGCTTGGGAGTTTCTGCAGGTACAATCATCCGTGTTCTGTCAGAACACCATAAATCAAAATACTAGAAAAGTCCTCATCAGCACGTACCCAAACCTCTCGCCCAACATACTGAGAGGCCATGGTTAACATTTGTAGAGATCCTGTGATTCATACATGAAGTTCTCTTCTGGAAAAGAAAAAACAATCACACGGGAACAGAACCTGTAATCATACAATCCTACATGCATAAATGTAACAGTGAGTACAACACATGATTTAAACGTGTTTAATTGGACGTGTGAGACAGCAGATGACTGAGGTTCGTCCATGGGCCTCTCCCACACGTTCCCACTTTGATTGAGTTCATTCTGTCTCTGACGCACTGCACCTCCATCACAGATGACTCAGACCACGCTGTCAGACTTCTGTCCGCTGAAGGTCAAGCGAGAATGAAGATTCCTCAGTTTGTTGAGACAGAGAAGGAATTAAAAGAAAATGTTAAATACTCTCTGTACCACTGACGAATCCGAAACAGTCTTTTTTAGGTTTTGTTCATGTTTTGTTCCTGAAACATTCACAAAGCTGTTTTCCATCAAGTCACAAGTCGGATTTCACTTATTTATTTTCTATCACGTTACTAAACTAGATTATCAGGTCATTTGATCGTCCTTCAGTAATTTAGTTAAACTGTAATTTTTGCTATTGTATATTTGAAAAGTCTTTTAAACTTTGAGAGTTTGTTGGCTGCTGTCAAACTATTTGATGTATTTGTTGTATACGGTGGTGATACTAACAGTACCAGAGATGACAAAGCAGTAATTCACAAACTGCTGAGAAGCAATTGCGCCTCTAATATTAATCATCGGGGTAATTATCAATTATTACGTTGCATTTCGTATAGACGCCCTCTTATACAAGCTCTTTTTGTCTCCTCCCGTCCACTGATGTCTCTGGAAATACTAATTTGACCTCAACCACAATCTTTGAATAACCTTAACCAAACCATGACTTTTCCATAACTTAACCACATATGACGACTCAGAATCCGAGGGGAGAGAGAAAATGACTTGGACCATGATATGAGCTTTTCCAGTCTGGATTTTAAAAAAAGCAAAAACTTGTCGTTTCACAACCACGGGCTGCAAATAAAGATGGACGACGCTTCTCCACTTCCAGTGAATGAAGTTTAGACTTGGACTCTTGAGTTTGGTGCGTGTCCCTCCTGAGCCGCTCCACATGTTAGAGAGCACAGGGCAAAGTGTCTCACTGCACTTTGGTGGCTGGACAGTGAGAGCAGGACAAGCTGGTGAAGCCAAGACCAAACCTCCTACGTGGGCTGTGAAGACAAAAGTCTCCGAAGGACGAAGCCCCTGGACTGAAACGCGGCTAATTTCAGCGTCTGCGTTCATGAACGTTTTGCTGTAAAGTGCAGTAGATTTAAAGACGTCGTTCTCTGTGTCCTGAACCTGAAGCGTCGCAGGTGCATCTGAAGAGATGGTTTATGCAAATGTAATGTAACAACGCTGTGACTCAGCTGGGCGTGTGGCTCCTGCACATTGTTTGTTTAAGATCATTAATGTGAGGATTGTATGACACTTAAATAAATCTGCTCGTTAGAACCACCACTTAAAGGGCTCTCTCTCTCTTCTCGTCTAACCCAACCTGGCGAGGCAGGCGGTCACGAGCTCTGGAACATTTTAACGTCTCAACTATACCATGAAAATTAAATTGCTCAATATGTTGTATTGTTTTTAGTAATTAAAAATGTTGTTATATGCAGGGCCATGATGAAAATCAACAAAGTATTTACAGTATATTTTAAACATGTTAAAGATGGCAGCTCCACAAAAGTGAAGCCTGCCTCCTCATGAGACGTGGACCAAACTAAAAAGTCAAAGAAGACGTTAAATAGATATTTGTCAAAGAAGGTTCAGTCACTTCGGGTAGTTGTTATCACACCGGTGTTTGTTCGAGTTCATGTTTGGTTATTTGATGATATAAAAACGTCTTGGTCGAGCTCGTCTGTCGAGCACGTGCACTGTAATGACGTCAAAAGCACAAGATGGCGGCAACCGTGTCCGACAAAGACAGGAAGTGAAGACACGTCGTCCATCTTTATTAACAGAAGTGTTTTTGTTACCTTTTCCAGCATAAACACTGACCAGAGTCATAGTGAGGCTCAGCGTCAGGTGTGAGGTTCTGGTTAAGGGTAAAGGTTGGATGTGTATTGTGGTTAGGTTAGGGTAACGTGTTCATTGGTCGGACTGTCCTCTGAAGAAAATGCTGCGTAAACCTGAGTCTGTGTGTGTGTGTGTAGAAAGAGGCCGACAGTTCAAGATTACACACGTGTTTCTGCGTGAACACAAAATTAAATCTGTGGTTATCAGGTGAAACGTCATCGTCCCACTTATTAATCAGATTTCAGAGGAAGGAATGACACTGACCCAATTCAAAAAAAACAAAGCACCTACACGCCTATACCCCACATACCTCTGAGGGAATTCCTGCATGACAGAGCGCAGCGGGTTCCTTGTTGACTTCAGGGGAAAAACCACATCGAGGACAACACTGATGTTTCGCCACTCTCAGTTCATCCGTGACTCCAGTTAAAGCTAATAGTTTGTTTCCAGGAATATGAAAACAATGACTGATGCCGGGCTGACAGACATTCGAACAGCAGCCTGTTTATCCACCATTTGCTCCCCAGTGGTTTTCAACCGTGTGGACCGACATGCGCCACACGAGCCGTCAGGTCAGAAGAACTAAACTTCTTCTTAAAAGTGATCACTGGAACATGAGTTTTTTGTTGAATTAAAAAACAGTTTACTTTACTTGTTCCACTTAGTTTTTGATGATTATTATTTCATGGTTTTTATTATTCGTACGGATGGTTATGCTAAAATGTCTATGAAACATTTAGTGATATTTTCTATATTTTAATCTTCTATTTAATCATTGTTTTTGATTTGTGAATGTTCTACGTAAATAATTATAAATCAAAAATACATTCTTGTATTTTGTAAAACTTTTTAACCACTTAAGCTCTCACGTTAAACTGTAAAAGTGAAGGTCACTCTGACAGAACTTGTGACAGAAGACAGAATAAAGACATAAAAACATTGATTGTTGCTGGAAAAAATATGTTCAACAGTCTAGCCAGTTTATTATAAAGCCTGAAATTACAAATTCGTTTCAGGGTCTGTGTGACCCTGAATCTTTCATTTTCTTTAAACAAACACAAACTGGGATTAATTTGTGTCAGATTAGCTGCACCTTTTCCATTTAACCCTTTACATCTTTATAAATTTCATAAACCTCTCGACCGCACTTGAAACTTTGCAGGAAACGTTTGCAGCGAGCCTGGCAGAGGAAACTAGGGCACAGGGATTAATATGGGTCACACCCACACATTGATATGACCCAAATTAATCCGGCTCAGGTGTTTTCAGCATCACTCAGTAATCAGGCACGTGGGCGGGTCTGCTGATAAGAGGAAGAATCACATTTCATTTCCGCTTCACACGACATATTCTCATGTTTTTGAAAACAATCTGAAAAGTAGATTTTAAATCTTTATTGTGTGGTTTTTTTTTTTAGTCAGGAAGAAAAAAATAGATTTAGGAATGTTTAAAGTTGAAACAAACAAACAAACAAACACCTGTTGAAATCTGAATGATTTAGAGTAAATATGTTGACATTAAGAGCACATCTGCAGAAGCCACATTTATTTTTATTCTGTGGAATGTAAAAATATCAACATTGATAATGAAACATGTATAACTGAGCTTTCTCTTGTTTCATCGAACCAACTCTGAAATGTGGATTAAAGGAGCGGCCGCTTGTTAAATTTATTTTCATTGTTTTGGCTGTGAAATAAATTGACGTTAAGCCACTGTTGGAGGGAATTAAAGCTGCAGCCACAGTGTCGATGATCCACGTAGCGAAAGTGTCAAGTGAATTTTGGGGCCGACGGACAGATGGATTCCACCTCCTGTCCCGATGAAGGCCCCCAGTGAGCAACACAAAAGTTTCCACCAGTTTTCTTTCTTCCCAGCTCTCAGTCTCCGCTGCTGATCCGTTGTCACGCCACAGATTCTTTTCCTCTCAAAAAGTAAATAAAAAAATCAGGGATGTGATCGTAAACTGCTAAAAAACACAAGACAACAAAATTCCCCCGTATGCCAAGAATGGGTGGCGTTTGTCCCTAAATCGAACACAAGGAAAAACACCCCTGACAAAATAATCCACATGAATTCTACTTAAAAGCGCCTTCTTCAACCTTTTTGACCTTTTCCTGTCCGTCTCTCTGTTCCTCCCCTTCCTGTCTCACTCTGGGAGAGAAGTCGTCTCCGCTGGGCCTCACTCGTACTCTGCGATCAGCACCATCATGCCAACTCCAAACAGCAGCGCCAGAATCTCCATCAGGGACTGGCCGAAACTGGAGCGGCCCGCCAGCAGCTCCGGGAGCACGGTCACCGTGGCGATGTAAACAAACCCTCCGGCCGTGAACGGCAGGATCCAGGCAGTCGCCGCGGCGCCCACGCCTTCGGCCAATAGGGAGCAAGCTGTGCCAGCCAAGGCTCCTAAGGCCGTCAACAGCTGTAGACACATGGCCTGATGGGAAAGAGAGAGAGGGTGATGATGTCAACACATTCAACATTTTTGAATTTGTTGAGAAATTTGCTTTGACACCATATCTTAAAGCCACGACACGGTTCAACAATACCTTTTTTTTGGTGCAGCCAGACTGGACGAGGATGGCAAAGTCTCCGATCTCATGTGGGACCTCGTGCAGCAGGATGGTGAGAGTGGTGACAGCGCCCACTGCTGGACCCACCAGGAATGACGCTCCGATTGCCAGGCCATCGGTAAAATTGTGTGTGAAGTCCGCTGCCAGGTTCAGGTAACCCGACACTTTGATGTCTGCATGTGTGGAGAGGAAAGTCCACAGGCAGCAGAAGGATAATTAGATTGATCCACCAGATGTCGACATTAAATATATAATTTATAATCGGAACATCACAGTGTTCCGATTAAAGTAATGGCAACACTGGTGTTACCAAATACATAAACATTAAATGTCTGTTGAGGGTTTTGATTTGACGTTAAAAAAGTGTAATGGATGGTGTGGCGGCGGGGTAAGTAATGTTAGTGGTATGTGCCCGAACACCTTGTTATACCGGTAACGCAGAGTACTGCAGTAATTCTGACGGATAAGCTCTTTGATATAATTACAGCTTCAGATAAGTCGTGATGTACACGTTTCATGAGTTACCCCTTAGGGAGTTGTAAATTGTAATAATTCCCAGCAGTTCTGTCTGCTCCAGTGTCACATCGACACCAACACCAAAGGCCGACATCACTGTTTCTCTGTAATTAACTTGTCATCACGCTGCAGTTCAGCAAAGAAGAGACATTTGCTGTCAGTCAAGAGTTTTTTGAAAGTGGGTCAAGGTCAATCAACGATGCCAAGAAAACATACCTGCGCAAATGAGACTGAAGTGGAAAACAAAAATAACAAGTCCACAGGAAGCAGAAAGATAATTAGATTGATCCAGATGTCGACATTAAACCTATAATTTACAATCGGAACATCACAGTGTTCTGATTAAAATAATGGCAACACTGGTGTTACCAAATACACCGGACAGGTTCGAAGAAAGGGGGCATGTGTTTTAAATGTCTGTTGAGGGTTTTGATTTATGACATTAAAAAAAAGGCTTTATTTTCTTTCATTAAAGTTGATCCACCAAGTTGAGACGTTAGCTAGCTCGATGTGCTGAGATAAAGGGGATTGTTCTGTAAGCATTGTGGGAAGTTTTTGTTCGACGTATGGACTCTACGCAGACGGGGACATGGCTCTGATTTACAACAATAAGTCATCAATTCACCTCGCACACACTAAAGAGCACAAACTCTCATATCACACTCCACACGTGTGGCTTGGTCTCAAACAAACACAAAACTGTACTGCAGCGGTGCTACAGCCGTGACTTGACACGTTTTTGATGCTGTAGTTCTCTCTGCGTCCTCTGACATCAAATCATCCACACCCGTGCAGCTTTGATAACTAATATTTGAAACAGTGGAGTTGTTTTGTTTTTTTTTATGAACGTGAGCGCTACAGCCGTTGTACAAATTGAACTGAACAGTTTTTATGTTTATAATAAAAGTGTAATGGATGGTGTGGCGACGGGGTTAGTAATGTTAGTGGTATGTGCCCGAACACCTTGTTATACCGGTAACGCAGAGTACTGCAGTAATTCTGACGGATAAGCTCTTTGATATATTTACAGCTTCAGATAAGTCGTGATGTACACGTTTCATGAGTTACCCCTTAGGGAGTTGTAAATTGTAATAATTTCCCAGCAGTTCTGTCTGCTCCAGTGTCACATCGACACCAACACCAAAGAGCAAAGGCCGACATCACTGTTTCTCTGTAATTAACTTAAGTGGTTTCACACACTCATAATACCATAACAATCTAGCTTTGTGTAGCGCTCCTTGCCTCGTGCTCTCTCGCTCTCCCTCTCCTGGATTACCTGTCACTCTGTTATGAAGTTAAGAGTGAACCACCACAGACTGGTCTAATTCTGTGGGAAGATATATTGTGTGATACCTTTTCACATTTCAGGATATTTTACTCTGAGGATTTTTGGCAGATAAATGAAATGGTGAACAGAAATATGTCCTAAATAGGAGGTAATTTCTAAAACTGTGCAATGTGACAAGATTTGATTTGCCCTTTTATTAAAAACTCTGATACTGTAAAACTACACTGGAGCAGTTACATTATATTACTTATACAACTTCAATAGGTTATTTGCTGGTTAAAGGTTTGAGCTTTTTAGTTGTAAAGATCTTCCTGTGACGACTCACCACGCTGCAGTTCAGTAACTAACCAGCAGAAAGCAGCATTTATCTATAAAAAGGAATGTATTGTTCACCTGTGCTCATTTGCTCGTCTTTCGTCGGCACCTTCTCATCTTTGCTTCCTTTCTCTTTCTTCTTCTTGTCTTTGTCTTCCTCTCCATCACTGTCCTTTTCCTTGGACGCAGCTGAAAGTGTTTCACAGAATAAAGGTCAGCTTCAGTCCCCGGATCAGATTTTAACAGGCGCTAATACGTAATAATAATAAAACATTATGTCTGAGCCCCTGGAAAACAAGATGATCCATCACATGAATATTTCTAACATACACCAATAGTTTCTAGTTTGTTCTACTGGACACATTTTTCTTTATTTATAAACTGAAGTCCTTTGTGTTTTAAATAAAAAAATATTTTCTGCCTTTTGATTTACTACATCGTACCATGTGAGTGGCTGTGGGAATGTCCGTGGCCGTGCCCTCCCTTCAGCAGACGCACAAATTTCTCTACAACCAGGAAGGCGATGATCCCACCGAGGACCCACAAACCCACCGACATCATGTGACCGTGCGCAGCTCCTGTGCAGATAGAGGATGAGCAACACTGTGATACATGAGTAAGATCTTCCACTGCTTACAGCATAGAACTAAATGTTTGACATCACAGTAGAAAAGATAATAAAGGTATTTTCTTTGGCGAAAACGCACCATGGGAGTGACCATGGTCATGTGACTCTTCACTTGCATGCGAGTGTCCGTGATCGCCGTCTCCGTGATGAGAGTGAGGCTCTGCGAGAGAAAATATAAACATGCCTGATTTTTAAAATCTAGATCCGTGAATCATGCCCTGAGAATTTGATCTGTCTCAAGTCAGCCCATTATGAAGGAAACCAGACTTTTGTGGATGGACTTCCTACCCAGAGCGTGAGGTATGAGGTGAAGGAAGGCATCGCCCAGTAGTCCACCGGAGGCAAAGCTGAGCAGCACCTTGAGCAGGTACTGGTGCTGGTCGCTGTTGGACTGAACCGGGATCAGAAACAGGATGAGGAAAGGAGCCGCGCTGATCAGCAGGGTAGCTCCGATAGCCTGCAGACAACAAAAGAGGAACATTTACTTTTCATCCGTGTATCATGGGAGATGTCTTAAGGCTTCAAGATCAATTCAAGGTTCAGTGTGTAGAACTTTGTGATATCTATTGTTGAAGTGTCATGTTGCACCTGATCACCCTTCACCTCACCCTCCTCCCCCTCCAAACATGAGAAAGAGCCTGTGGTAGCATAGAAACTCAAAAGTTCTTTAGTTTGTCCAGTCTGGACTAATGTAAAAAATATGGCGGCCTCTGTAGAGAGGGTCCCTTCGATGTCAATATAAAGTATTTAAATATAAAGGGCCTTCTAGAGTAAAGAAAACTACAATTCATTCAATTTAGATGAAACTAACTTGTGAAAACATCATGAGGATTATTCAACATTAAATTTCTGCCAATAGTTCCCTTTCACCTAAATCTTACACACTGGACCTTTAAAAGCAACCCAAGTGTAAAACAGGAGCTGGAGAAGAAAGGATGGGACTAAGTGTTGATTTGTTTGCAGACAGGGTGTGAACACGTCGTCGAACAGGACACAGCAAACTAACGTGGATACAGACTGCGGCTCCAGCTGTGTTTGTTCATCTAGTACATTTGTGGAACAGATGATACTGCTGGTGAGTAACTGGATGTACGTAAAAAAAACGACTGTGTGTGTACACTGCAGCAACCAAAGCTAAAGGTGCAGCCTCTTTTTGCTCTCGTATCTGTCCGCTAGTATGAAAACACAAAACTCATAGATTGACATTAGTCCCTTAAATGTGCCAGATTCTTTTCATCGAGATCCAGGAATTATTCCATGAGAAAACAATAAAAATGTCCTTTCTTGCAATGTTAGAGAAAAGGAAAAAGATTCCTGAATCTGCCCCCTGATCCGGCTCTGACTATTTACAGAAATTGAATTGGTATTGACTTTCTAAAATAATTCATCAAGAATTTCCCATTGAAACTTTTTCCTTTAAAATGTTGATTTGTCTTCTGACTGTATTTCTGACTGTAGATTCAGGTTCATACATTCTGACCTCAAGATTTTAAACTCATAACCCATCAGTGTGATTTTAGCTAATGAGCCCACCTGCGTCCAGAGCTCCATCGTATCCCTCTTCTCTCTCTCCTCTCCGTGCGAGTGCCCATGCCCACTCTCCTTGTGCACAAGAACATCTTCATGAGCGTGCCCGTGGTCGTGAGAGTGTGCGTGTCCGTGAGCGTGTCCATGGTCGTGTCCGTGGTCGTGAGCATGTGCATGTCCGTGGTCATGAGCGTGTGCATGTCCGTGGTCGTGTCCGTGGTCGTGTCCATGGTCGTGTCCATGGTCGTCCTCCTCAGGTAGGTTAGCCTCTGCGCTCCACTTGCTCGCTCCGTGGAACATCTTCACCTGAGCGCCGTGAGAGTGTCCATGGTGATCATCTTCTCCATGGGAGTGGCCATGGTGATGGTGGCCATGTCCGTGGTCGCCATGGGAGTGGCTGTGAGCGAATGTTGACTGGGAGGCTAACAGTAGTAATGCTGATGTGGCCAGTGTCAGCAGATGTACACAGCCCATATTATCCCCTGAAGAGAAAAGAGGACAGAATTAATAGAAACTCACAGGCTAGTGGATGATTAAACTCGGAGACCATGTTCACACCAAACTCACTTGATATCGACGCCACATTATTTTGGTCATGTAAACAAACCTATAGCTTCTTCTTCCTGATGGAAGTGAACATTACCGAGTTTGCAAGTAACCATCACTCTGTCTCTGGCTAAATGAATCTCTCTCTTTCTGCATATGTAAACATGGACACGTCTGTCAACAGAGGACTCATGTTGCATGTTATCCATTTAGAGATGTTGTGTATTTGCAGGAGTCAGTGGAGTGAGTGACACTCATCAGTAAAATGCTAGCGGGTCTGAAACTGGCAAGTGACAGGAGGAGCTCAAGCAACTGAAACACATGTGAAGGCCCAAGTTAAGAGAAGAGACAAAAGTCAACTCAAGTTATTGATATAAATAATAATTATGTTTGCAATAAGTCCATTTGGGATTTCTTTAGATGTGTCCTTTCTTTTGTGTCTGTGTCTTTGCACATTTTGTAAATGTGATGCATCTTAATGCATCGTCATCACTGCAGCTTTCGACACGACAGTGATTTTTGTCTGGTTGAGTCTTTCCCTGAGCCGACCATTGGAGTCACGGGGGGGGGCAACAACATTACACGATGACTCTGCAGCACAGTTAGCATCTCGGTGTCCTGAGTTCAACTTTGCCTGTGCTAACCATGAATTAGCTGCTTTGCACTGATTAGACCCCGCTGAAACACGGTCTGCAGGATCAGACACCGTGGGCGAAGCCTGGCGATGAGAGCTCACAGGATTTAACCGTGTGGGCTAACTTTACATTTTAGCCTGCTAGCTCTGATCCAGCTTCGCCTGGCGGTGGTGTTTTGTTTGCTGGTGTGAAGGTGAGGCGGGTGATCTGTCCGCTGTGGTCGAGCGGCAGCAGTAATCTCACAGTAAACAGTGAGAGTCGGGAATCAAACACCGGTCGCCGATTCCACAAGTTGCGGCTGCAGCTTGCTAGCAGGCTAACTAGCTTGGGTAGCCGCTTGCTAACGCGTTGCCGCAGCGAGAAGACGATCATTAAGTAGGAAAGGCAATAAAAGATGGACGGTTCAGTCTCACCAGATGGTGTCTGGTGTCGGTGGCTGTCGTGCCGGTCGGTAACTCTCCGTCTGACCGGCTGTGAGATCCGTAAAGAGCTGAAACCCGCTGAGCACCAGGATGCTAATGGAGGCTGCGCAGAGGACGTGGCGTTTACTCAACTCTGTGAAATCTCGCGAGAGTTCGTTTCATCTCCAACCTCTTAGTTAACGGTCTGTTTCCAAACTGGTTCCTCCTGTTTACATGGAAGTCACGTAAACACACGTTGTCCTCTTCATGGTGCAAAACATGATTTACAATGAGAACTGAGTATTTAAACTAATCACCTGCACTGACTGTGAGCATGCACACTCATAAACACACACACACACACACACACTCTTAAACACACACACTCATAAACACACACACTCATAAACACACAAATACACACACCTGCCTATGAGCGATATAAACTGACTGTATGTGTGTATCTGCCAATGTCACCTGAAACAAATCTGTAATCAGAAGCATTAACTGTATTTTGAAAGTATATATAAATGGTAGAAACATCACAGAAAACATTTCTGTCAAGTTTTGTTTGCTCTGTGTAAACGCTGCACCATCACCAGGACAGTAAAGTTATTTTTATATCATATAAAGAACTATATGCTATGAAACTTGGTGGAAGTATAGGGATACAAACCCATTACAGTTTGCAGCAGTGGTTATGATCAGTTTTATCGAACAGCTCAAATAATTTATACAAAACATTATCTTTTCTTCTTCCCATTCATTGATAATGGAACGGCCCATTCGATTCAGCTGTGACCATGTGGAGAGTTGATCAGGAACCACAATCAAACATTTCACCCTAAAGTCATCAGAACATTTTTAACACTTAAATAAACAGTTTCATCGCAAAAGTCTTATTTTACCGGTGGAGGACATGATCGTAATCTCAGTATGAACACGGTGCTGGTTATTAAAACTTCCTGAATGACTGAGTGGGGATTTTTCTTGGATTGATAAAGATCTTTTTATTTTTCACTCATAACATAATTTGTTTTCTGGTCTCTACTGGAAACGAACAGACAGAAACCTTTTAAATAAGAGGAAGAAGAATGAAAAAAAAACTCAAGGATTCTGTTTCTAATTAAAGTGTTGACCACATGATTTGAATCTTGCCCAAAAGATCTTTTCTTCTGACTCTGATGTTTCCTGTTTGAACACATGCTTTATTTTCCTTGGCAGCCACTCTGACCTGTTGATTATTGAAGGAGTTTATCTGAAGTGCAGAGAGAAGATGTTTGAAGCTGCATCTTCATCCTGGCTGCAACACATCCGCTGGGAAAACAAACAAAAAAAGTGACGATTCAAATTCCGACAACTTCAGGGTTCTGCCCGCGTACTCACAAGTCCACTGTGGATCAAAAATAGAAACAGGTTGAGCAGGATATTTAAAAAAAAGAAGATACGATCAAAAGACAGAGAAGAACAATCAATTAAAACATCTTTCTGCAGTTCTTAAAGTACAAGGGGGAATTACTGAGGTAATGACACAGATCTTTATATTCACTGTTAAATAAATGTTGATCAATGTTTTCAACGATAGATATTTTTTGTTTTAACATTTTCAGGGAGGATGTCGATTATTTAATCACCTGCTTTTGAATCATCACCAGGAAAACAAATTGCATTTACTCAAATGCTCTTTAAGATGTATTTTCATGTTGTGCTGTTTTGTGCTATGACTACAACATTTCTTTCAGTCTGTGAAATGTTTCCTCTTTCATTCCCTCTCTTCACCCTGAACATCTGTTCTATGTAACTTTGGTGAGTGGGTAGATCTCCTGTGAGAAGAAGTTATTTACTTTTATTTATTTTGTGTTTTTTTTTTTTTTTTACTTACATAAAGTGTCCCTGAGCTTAAGTCATCCATCCATCAATTGGAAAAGAGACAGAGGTTCCTGCAGCATCTTAACTGGGGTTAGTGTAACTTCTGTCTGTCTGAAGGTCGCTGACTCTGGAACAGAGCAGAACAAAACCTTTCCAGGAGCCTTTGGGCTGATGTTTAGCTGTAGATGAGGTAAATAATGTCAATACTGATTGTTACAGTAATAATCTGCTGCTACTAAAGAGATAATAGGATATTATTTAACATATTAATGTTTAAGGTTAAACTGAATTGAATAACATTGAGGCAGGGCATGAACATAACACCATCAAACACTTGTTTTTGTGTTCAAGAATGTTTTTTGAAAGTCTTGAATTAGTAATACGACCGTCAGTACTTAAGATCTTCAGTCTTATATCAGTCATGACTGTAAAGTGTCAGCATCGGGTTCCAGGGGATTTATTTTAGCTGAAAACTGAACCTGTTCCATCACCTCAGTAGCTCCAAAGTAACGTGTTCTCCAAACATGAACAAACAATAAATACATATATATTATACATTTCATACTTTAAGAGAGACAGATGTCAGACACACTCCCAGACAGACAGACAATTTGAAGCAATCAATATCCCTGTCATTGAGTAAAGTCTACTTCAAGTTCACACGTTCTCTGGGGCGTCTGCAGCCGGCTGCTCATTTTGTCCAGGGGAACTCTGCTGACCCCTGAGCCACTGCCGGGGATTGTCCTGATGCAAATCAGGAGAGGGAACCAATTCATCGTCGCACAATTCGATTAGACATCTGCATATTGAGCATCTGCACCCCAAGAAAATCTGCCAATACCTACCCTCCCTCCCCCTACTGCCCCCACATTCTCTGGCCCCCCACAGGGGTAGCGCCCCAAGACCCCAGGGGCGGCCTCCGTCCTTGCTGCCCTCCCGCCTCCCCCCCGTCTCCCCCTCCGGTCCCCTCCTGACCCTGTCAGGCCTAGCGACAATACCTGACCCCGCCCCAGAGACAGAGCGATTGGAGTTCAAGGTAAATGTCCCTTTCTCTGCGTCCGTCTGCAGGCTGCCCTGTCCAGCCCCTGTCCGATAATCACATGCACCGCTCTTTTTTTCTAATACTTTCTCACACACACACACACACACACACACACACACACACACACACACTGTTGCAGAAGACACGACTTTGGCCTGAAAACGAAGGCGTCCCTTCTTCTGCAGTGTTTCCATTGTGATCATGTCCGACCACTGGCTCTTATTCAGACCTCTCTGCCACTCAGACGGTTTCCCTCCATTTTTATCGCTCTTATTGATTCATCAGGCTCTCGCTCAGCGTTGGGAAGAGAGAGGCAGCACATCAAGAACTTTAAAGTAACATGTGTTGAGCTTTACCACGCACAATGCAAAGCTCCCAACTCCATCAACACCTTCACTGCTCCCTTATATTTTGGAAATGTGCATGTTTATGAATGACATTGATGATTTGAGAAATGTTCCATCATGTAGAATATTTAAAAAAATGACATTTACTGGGTTATTTCTTCAAATATTGAGCATTTGAAGGCACCACTGATATTTGTAATTTATAATAAAGGCCTACATATGAAAGAACCCTCAAAACAAACAATATCCAGACAACAGCTTTATGTTTTGAAAGCATAAAATGCCTCAGAAAATTCAGCAGAGAATCAATTGATTGATTTTTCATGCAGAAAACTTCAGCTCCATGCTGCAGCTCTTGGGTGTGAATGAGAGTGACTGTATAGGATGTGACACTGTGCACCAGCGGCTGCTCCACCAACATAAATAATAGCTTGAAAATGTGCAGTGTAATTATTCCGCATCAGATCAGGACACGAGCAAAGATTCAACCAAAGCAGCAAAGTCCAGAGAGAAATAAAGTGCTGGTGAATAAACTAACTGTGTGGAACTGAGTTGGGAAGTAAATGCAGTGCTGTGATTTTCATACCTTAAACAGACTCTTGTACAAATAAGTGTTGTTGTAACTTACATCATTTGTAGACACTGGGTGGACAAAATAAGAATATAAAAACTGTTAGTATAAAACTTGTTGTGAGGTGACAGTGCAAACCACAACTCCTCCAAACATGACATTTATTTAATTTAGCGCAAGTAGCGTTGAACAAGGTTCAATAGAAGTGAATGGGAAATGGAGCAATTAAAAATGTGTGACATACTTTTTGTTTCAGTAATAATAATTCATCTTAAGAGCAGAATTAGCTCTTTAAGCAGAAAGTCCTGAAGGACGAGAGTCTTTCACACCAAGTCTGATTTGCTTTACAAATAACTTAATGTAAGTGTCTCTGCCTGAATTAAAGAGCGTCCGATACATCATAAAACAACAGGAGCCTGTTTGAGCCACAATAATTCGGACATCACATATCTGTCTCCGTGTTTGACAGCAAACAAATGAACCAGAAACAGGATCATGAAACAAACAGGAGAAAAGAAGAGATGAAATCTAATGCCGTCAACACGTCCGGAGTTAAATCCTCATTGCACGTGTGTCTGTATGCTGCCGGTCACTTTGAACCCCGTTTCTCTGATTCTTGGCAGGAAGTGAATGTCGGCAGCTCTCAGTCATAAAACTGCTTTTGGTGACTCTCCCAGAATGCACTGGGTGGGGAGAGGACAGAGAATCTCTGTGTCGACTCACCGTGGCATGGGATGTGAGGAGATCGCAGAGAATGTCAATAATCGCTCGAACCGAGGATGAGCCGCTGCCTTCGAGAGAAATAAAAATACGTATCATTCAGTTTTCAAATTATTACAATGAAACTTGTTGCAACTGTCCCCAAGCTGAGCAGCCATACACAAACAAACCCCCAAAAACACGTACGACAACATTCGTTTTTAAAACAGTTCTTCAAAGTTACTGTTTTAAAGAATAAATATGTTTTATATAAGTTGGTTGCATATTGTTCTTTTGAATTCTGTTTTGGATTAAACAGCAGCTGTAACATCTGCAAATGACTCAAGGTTGGCCTTTGCTTTACTACTGCTGTTTAATAAACACATCTACAGAAATATAATCATATTTTCACTTTACTGTCTAAAATTTTAAGTGAAATTTGTTGGATTTCAAACGTAATTCAACCATCTCAGATCGGAGCTGTAACTGTCCACTGGGTTTCAAATATATATAATACAATATATAAAACTGTGGTCGGTCTCGTGCAAATTGTCTTTGTGTGAATGAGAGAAATGAAAAAAGTGTCTCACTGTCCCCGTTCTACAGTAAATTTTCAATAAACATTTAAAAAACAAATCAGACTCAAGTCTTTGCTGCCAAAAGCACAAGACGATATTTGACTGATTCAAAAGGAGCGCAGGGTTTTTCTGAAACACTACATGTTAAAAATTGATTGAGATGTCAAAATCACTGTCTGCCCGTTTTATCTGCGGTGGAACTCGGGCTCAGCTTTCTCCCGTTGAGGAATATTTGTAGCTACAACACAATGTTCAAAAGCCTTTGTCCCTCATCCTATTGCTGTGATCTGTGTCTCAGGGCTCGGGGACAAAAGGTGTCAAACGGAGCGTTGGACTTGGTCTGCCATGTCCTCCCGAGGCTGCTCCTAATCCTATTACTGTGGCCCAAGGAGGAGTATGGATCCTGCACTCCCTTCATCCCAGCAGCTATTAAAGTCTATGGGGGCCCTGTGTGTTTACTCTGTGTGTCTGTGTGTGTGTGTTCTTGTGTGTGTAATTGCATTGTCAGCGACTTCTTATCCACGTTGTCATAATGTGTTATCCAGTGATGCGGCTCAAGGTTTGCCGTCTTTTTGGGTTTGCTACGGGGCAGGTGGACATTTCAATCTCTCACTGCTGCCACATGATTCATCTAACGTGAAGCTTCAACCTCTAACTTTTCATTTTGAGAATATCCGAAGGTTTAATGGAGGGAAATGTTTTTAAGCAACGTCTCACTCACGTCTTTCCAAACAACTGGATGTTTCGTTTTTTTTGTTTCGTAACATTTTAAACATAGCCGTGAACTTTAGGTCAAATTACTTGGATTCGATCATAGTTTAATAAGTGAGAAGAGTCAATTTGAAGACTCAATTCATCATCAAATCTTAAATCTGACAGCTCTATCAACGGCAATTTGAAAAAGTAATGAAACAGATAGGGTTGATAAAACATAAACAATAAAACTTTTAATAAAGCAGGAGATGCAAGAAGAACATGAATGAACGCAGACACTGTGTCGTCAGCAGATAAACTGTACATCACAGATTCAGGATTCATTCTCCTCCCTCGTGTTATTTATTATATTTCTGCCAATAAAACAGATATTCAGTTCATTTTAAATGAAGACGTGATGCTGGGACTGATCATATTATTCAAACTTAAATTTAGTGATGTTGACCTTTAAATTGATTCGTCAGGATACATCAGAGTAAATAAACAGTAAAAATGATGGGTGAGGTAAACTATGTGTAAAGTGGAGAGATACAGTACAAAGTGCAGGGACATTTAGAGAATCTGTTTTCCCATGTAGAGCGAAATATTGATTCATCGCCTCCTTTCAGTTCGTCTTATTGTCTCTGAGCAGTTTTGAGCTTAAAGCGACCGGAATGAAATGTTGTCCAATGGCCCTTTGTTTCCTCTGGGTGCCACTTATGTGGCTTAAGTGCAGATCGCGGCCACACAGACAGACGCACACGCAGCCGTCCCCATCCGCTCAATAGTCGCATTTGCGTGTACATTGACCAGAGTCAATTGCCTGTCAAATGCAATGTGCGATTAGACACCAGTAGGTGTGAGACCTAATGCAGGGGAGCCTCCCAGAGCCTGGACATTGAGGGGGCCCCGCTCTGTGGACCCCACTGCCCTTCTCACTCCCCCTTCACCCTCTACAACCTCCCCTCTGTTTTTCATCTCGCCGCTCCGGTTCAATGTTAATGTCCAGCAGTGTCCACTCTGCCGACGTCTCCCTCCCGAGCAAAAACCCAGAGAAGAAAGGGCGAAAAGGAGAAAGAAAACCAAACCTTCCCTCCTTCTTTTCTCACCCTGGCCTCCTCTTGTGTGCTGTCCAGCTGGCTGTGACCCTTGACCCCCTGACCCTCACTCCTGACCCCTGGACCCGTTCCCACGCCACGCCTTTTTGTGTCCACCTCGCCATGGCAACACCTTGGTCGCCGCTGCTGCCACGGTAACAGATGGACAGGGGCCTGGAAATAACTTCATTCAGCCCCGCCCGGAGGGTTGAGCACCATGGACAATCTGCCCGGACCCTTCCACACACCCGCCATCCTCCTCCCATCCAATGTCCCTCTCACACACACACACACACACACACACAGCTCCCCCAATCTAACTTTGACACCTCCTGTGCCACATTCTAACACCCCAATCCTCTTGGATCCATTCCCTCAGCAGGGGCCTCTGGGTATCAGGGCCTGATAGAGTCATTAACACAGAGATCCCAGATTCGCCCTGGCATGTACACAGGAAGTACACGGGAATCAGAATAAGTTGCCGTTGTTGGCAGAGAAAAGCACAAAGAGACACCCTGAAGTCAACCACATATCCCATTTCACACCGCTGGTATTTGTGGTCCGGGGCGTAGGAGCGCTACCTTCATCGCTGTGCTGTAATTATCTCTCCTCTTTTATTAGCTCTATTGTTTTCTCACATCCTCCGATGAGAAAAGGGGATGTGGGGCGGGGGGGTGAGTTGTAAAGACACAGAGCTGAGCAGCGGGGGATCTGTTTGCTAACTCAGAGACAAATGACAAACTGAATAGCATCGCTGAGGAGCTCAATACGGTGCAGCAGGAAAATGAACTGCAACAGATTTGGTGCTAATCAGTAACTAACCTCCAAACAAGGTTGTGTGTTTTGTCCCCGTCTGTGTGGAACACCTCTCGGACAGAGACAGTGAATGGATTAGTGGGGAATAGTGTAATTACTCGTGCTGAATGGGGTCCGCACTGTGAAGAGGAAGTCGAAAAACACACTTGTCTTTGTGAGGAGCGCTCTCATCCTCCCCGGTCTCATCTTGCACTCACTGATGAGGGCAAACAAACAAGTAAACAAACAAAATGGCACCCTGCAACGCAAAGGTCCCTAATGCCGATTTTCTACTTTGTCATTTTGAAAATGAGAAAAAGGGGATTTTTGTCCAGGAAATTGAAATTGTGGGGTCATTTTTAAGTTTTGCTTCATTTTCAGGTTCAGTTTTTATTTGAAAGGCCTCAAATGAGTGTGAGTGTGTGTGTGTGTGTGTGTGTTTTAGTTGGACTGGGAAGCAGGTGGGGGGGGCACAATAGGCAACCGCCATAAGACTGACCATTGAGGCGAAATCACACAAGCGAAGCCACTTATTCAGTTTTGGGGATTTCGTATCCCCCTTCCATCCCTGCATCTGAATCCCACTGTCTTTCTCTCTAGTTTTACTCACCCCTTCACCCCTCCTGTGTCCAACAACCCCCCCCTCCCAACCCTCCATCCTCCCATGTCCCCCCTGTTCTCCCCCACCTCCCCTCTTCCTCTCGCCCAGTTCATTGTACCAAAGGAGATTTTCTCCATTGAGGCCCAGTCTCTTAGGTAACCCCAGCGCTGCATGAAATGAGGAGAGGGAGAGAGAGAGAGAGAGAGAGAGACAGGGAATGAGAGAAAGAGAGGGAGAGAGAGGGCGGGGAAATTAAGAGAGGGAGAGGGCGAAGGAAATGTAAAGGCAGAGGGAGGGAGGGTCCGGACAGAAAGGGTTGAAGAAGGAGAGGGAGAAGGGACGCGGGATCAGAGGAGGCTGAGGCACGGAGAGTGAAAGATGGAGAAGTGGGACAAGTGCGGTCAGACGTCGACAGCGATGCAGCGAGAACTCGACCCACAACTGAGGGAGGAAGAATGAGAGGCGAGGATGACTGTCACACATGTAAGGATGAATCCTCTGTGGCTGAGAGGGATTTTATCACAGGCTATTTTTCTCTGATTCTTCATCCAGATTTTAAGGCCCCACACGGTCCAAAGAGACTGGACACCAGCACCTTTTGTCTTCTTTTCTTTTTTGTTTTCCTTTGAGCTGATGTTAACTGATGTAGATTTAGATATTACATTCTTTTTCCACTTTTCAACAGGAGGTGTCTTTTTGAATTGGGGTGCATTAGCCTGTGTTGCACCTAAAGAGAGGTTGTGGGGTGAGTTCAGGCCTTCAGGGATCCAGCTGTTGGTTTTAAGTCTCACTTATTTTAAATAGAAAATAGATTTTAAGTTTTTTAACAGCTATAAACATTGCTACACTTTAAGTTTGATCTTTACCAGGAAAAAGTTTCATCCTTCATCTTATTGGTATTCATGACAGAAACTTTTTCTTCCATGTTCCTTCAAAAAGAAAAGTTTAGTGACTATTTGATATTTTAGCATTCTAATATCACATTTCAAGGTTTTTTGTCTTTGCACTTTTTGAACTATGTGGTGGTTTTTCTGTCTCTGTGATTTAACTGTAAACTTTGCTCTGAACAGAGACTTTAACTGTAAGGAGAGGACTCTCTGAAACGCTGCCATCCTTTGTGGCCATGCTGCTCTGCACCTCAATGGTGGGCACACAGCACATGGGGTTCCCATGAATAGGCCAGGCCTCACCAAAGACCACATCATTTGGATACAGACGGGCTCCCACAGAAAGAGAAAAACGCCTCACGGAGCGAATCAGATAAAGAGAAAATGTTGCGTACGGCAAATCAGATTAGGGCGAGTCAGAGCTTTACGTTTCTCCACCCCCCCCTCCACCCCCCTGCCTCCACCTCAGTTAAATTTACTACCGTTGCTGCTCATGAGTGTGATAATAATGCGCCCCACTGCTGCGCTGAGTTATCATCTCAGGCTTTTGTCTCTTTTGATCCGTGTGACCGTTGGGGGGGACCCACTTCTTCTTTTGTAGGGGGTCACATCGCTGGCTCCTTTTGGACTGGGCTGCCCCTGGGTGGTGACCCCTTCGTTCATCATGGTGTCACCCACACAGAGGACAAGCATGAGTTAGAGCTTTCTCTCTTTCTCTCCTCTTCTTTCTTTCTCTTCGCCTTCCCGCTCTTTCCTCTGACCATCCTCTCCTCCTTGTCCATCCCTAAGTGCTAACCTGAGGCATGCTGGGGGTCAAATGCCGTTATGAAACCCAGCTACAGCAGGTGGAGGTAATGATATATGGATGGAAACTTCCCATTCACTCTTTAATCATTTTGAATTGAAGCTGAATTTACTTCCTCAAGTTGCCGGCCAGTGAACCATCCACCTGATCGTGTGCGTTGAGCGTGTGAACAAACCTGTGACCAAGAGAACGATGGAGGTCCGGAGCTGATTGTCCAAACGCAATTCTTGCGTCTGCCTTTGTGAAACCAGGAGTTGTGGATGGACATCACGCCCCTGACCTCTGAAAACCAGCGAGGGACAGACCTCCATGGATGGGGTTACACTCAGCGGCTTAGTGGGTGGAGGAGAGAAACACTGAAAGACAAACAGAGAGGCAGATACTGAATAGAGGAGAGTGTGTGTTTATGTAAATGTAAACCCTGTAAGAAGCTCTTGACATTTTTGGACATCAGCTCAACTTTTTTTTTTTTTTTTCCAAATAAGAACAGAACAGTTTCAACTTAGACCTGGAAGAAAAACTTTTACTTTCTTGACTGAATAGCATGATGTAAAATGAGGTATAGGCAGGTGAATAATTCATATCATCCTTGGTTTGAAAAGTAAGCGACAGCAAAGCAGACTTTAGCCAAGAGGGGAAGTGAGGAGGGAGTCAATCCTTTTATTTAGCAATTTACACAACATAAATTAGTATATGTCAAATTCTTAGATTGAAGCTTAAACACATTTCATTAAAAAAAAAAGTAATCCGAAAAAGTCAAAGATTCTGTAAACCTCATCTTTCACTTTGATATGTGAATTTTAATATGAAATCAATCTGGTGCATGTACCTCCATGCTAACTTCCAAGTTACGAGAAAATAATCCTAATTCCACTTTTACTGGACTTTTGTACTTTTTCTTTTTTTAATATGTTTCTACTCTGCTCAGGTGCAAAGCTGAGTGCAGGCCTCTGAAGATCGGGGGTGTCCCATCTTGGGAGAGGGGGTTAGAGTCTGTCTGTGGAGCAGAAAGGCCTGAATAGCTCTCACCGTGTTAAGTACAGTTGAATGTGTCCGGTTCACACTTCAGCATCGGTGTCTAGAAAGAGGGTCCTGCTAAATTTGCACTGGAAGGGGTGAGAGTGACAGAAAAGGAGAATGAATGAGAGGAGGGAGGTGCATGTGTGTGTGAATGTGTGTGTGTACTCGTCCTCTGCCTGTTTGCCCCTGTGAATTTGCCTCTGTGTGTTTTCCTGTGTTTGACAAAGTTCAGGGGGCCAGACTTGGAGACAGAAAAGGGAAAATGAGAGAAAGCAAAGGATTTGAATGTGGTGGAAAGAGAAAGAGAGAGAGAGGGTGAAAAAAAAAGGCAAAGATCTGACAGGGAGAGGGAGAGAGGGAAAGAGAGAGGATGGAGAGGTGGTGCAAATTGGTGAGATTTATAGATTGAAGCTGCAGGAAGCGACAACTGAGTCTGGGAAATATGTATAAAGAAAGAGAAGGAGTGAGGGTGAGAGAGAGCGGGAGAGAGAGGGTGGGAGGGAGATCAAGAGCGAGGCTGCATTAATATGCTAATGGTCTGAGTGAATGCACAACAGGCCCACTGACCAGGCTAATCACTGGTGGACACACACACACACACACACACACACACACACACACACACACACACACACACACACACACACACACACACACACACACACACACANACACACACACACACACACACAGAGGCTAATCCCTCACACACACACACACAGGAACACATGCACATGCAGCGCAGGGCGAAATATTTGGACAGTGACAGATTTAGATTTTTTTTTTTAGCAGAACAGAGATTTTGATGAGATGTGAGGAAACTGCAAATTCTATGAAAATGATTATGATTCCAAAACACCATGGCTGCCTAACTCACTTACTCACTTCCAAAATCAGACAAGAAGAAGACTTCAGACAGAAATTGACTGCATAGGATTGAATATTATAACTTACTATACAAGTTTATGTATCGTTTTCAATTATTCTCTCATTTTTAAATTGGAGGACAAATTGATTAATAGAAGAGACGATTACAAATCTTACAGTTTGACATGGAGGCAACTTCTCTCATCTTACGACATTTTAAAGAACACAAAGACAAATTAGAAAAATATCCCATGAAACTGATTTCACATTATTTCATTTGCTCCCATCTTTTGGTTTAACATGTCTCTTATTATCATGTAATGTAATGTGTGCAATCATTGATGTTCTTTGGTTTTTATATCATATTATAGGTACGATTGGTGCAGAATGCAAAATAATAAAAATAAACTTTCAAAACCAGTGTTGGTGTTTTGTTGTGTTTCTTCCTCTGAAGCTGTTTGTAAAGGTAAAAAAATTAAACATCTGAACCCTGTGTTTTTTTATTTGACGGGAAAGTCTGCAGCTCCATTTACTGGGATAGAGTAAATAACGTAGATTAGTACTTTCTTTTTTTAATTCCTGGAGTAAAAATCAAGATTTCAAGACTGTGATTTATTTTCAATTAGTCGTTTTTTTTTAAACAAGGCAGATGCGTTAACGATGGACAGTTGTGGAGGTGGCTCAGAGAACCTGCAAGTGAACCAGGCACAGCTGAGAGTAGCTGACCAATCAACTCTCCCTGGATTCAAAACGCAGCAGCTGCCAGAGAGGGACTGAGACATGAGGGGAACACACATGGTGTGAGACAAGGACAGAACCGAGCTGCAAAGCCGAGGTGCCAGCTGAAATAGCTGTTAAGAGTTTTGTGAGTTTGTGTTTGATTTAATAAAGATGCTGAAAAGCAGCTCGTTTGTCTCTTTGAGTCTCTGCCTTCCTCTCTGGCAGCTGCTGCCTTTTGAATCCAGGGAGAGTTGATTGGTCAACTACTCTCAGCTGTGCCTGGTTCACCTGGAGCTGCTCCCTGAGGCACCTCCACAACAGCTGGAGTTAAATGAGAAAACCTTCAACATGACACAACAGAAAAACACTGGAACCAGTTACCAAAATGATTTTATATATGTTCCCACAATGCAGATGCCAGACTCTACGAGACCAAATCACACAACCACAACCATATATCCCCGGTACGAGCTTCCCTTCATTGGCTGCCTGTGTATTTCAGTATTGGTTTCAGAATATTGAAATGAACTTTCAAGGCACCGAAAGGTTCGACACCAAGCTACTTGGCTGAGCTTATAAATTAGTACTCATCAACCCATAGAATGAGATCTTCTGATAAGGCCGTGTTACATCCCTCAGTCAAGACTGAAGACCAAAGGTGACGGAGCCTTTATCACAGCCCCAACCCTCTGAGTGGAACAGTGTACCTGAGGAACTCAAGACTTAAAAAAGTTTTAAATCATTTTAAATCCATTTAAATCAAAACTCAGTTTATAATAGAGTTTACTTGATTGTTTTTAAATAGTACTTGTGCTTCATTTATCCTTTTCCCCCCCATTACTTTTAATGACATTGTATTATTTTATCTAGTACGACTGTACTACACCAGAGAAGCAGTATGGAGGCATATGTTTTTTTATGTTGTTTTCATTCGTTTGAAGAAGGAGTGACCATTTACTTCAATGGTATTGGATTTTTTTGCCGCAACACAGTTTGAAACCTCAAACACTTCACCCACCCCTCCATCGTTTTCTGTGAACTATCCCTTTAAAGCTGTTTTGAAACGTGCCATATAAATGGTAAGTTATTACCATTATTATTATCATAATTATTATAATTATTATCATAAACTGTTAAATGGTGTTAGACACATATATTTCCAATGAGTGGCTTTGGGTTGTTATTGGCTCAAATGAAAATGAAGCTCTTACCTGCATCCATCAACATGTTTCTTGCAGACTGTGCACGTCCTGAATAATTGATTTTAAAATAGAAAAGAAGAGGAGCTCCAGTCTGCAACCCCCCCCAGCTGCTGACACACTGAGCTGAACTTGTCTTGACCTCTTGACCCCTGAGCTCTGGATGTGTCTCCCTCCTCACCCTGTGACATGCGAGGGCGACACCGCGACCACACGACCCGTCCCCTGCCTCCGGGAGCTCCGGGGCTGCCGAGGGCTCCCGCACTGGCCCAGTGTGGAGCAGTGAGAGAAGCACCAAAGCCAGATCCTCCACCATCATCATGTTTTCATCCTTGCAGGGGGAGGGAGGGTTGACTACGAGGCAAAGTGGGGGGAGAGGCAGACACACACGGGGCCTAGCTGCCACATCTGTTTCATGCGAAGAAGCTGCGCCGCTAAACCGTCAGTAACCCGTGTTTCCTTCCACTCAGCGGGTAGTTACAGGGTTCAGCTGCCGTGTGACCGGTGGGAGGCAGACACCCGGGGGGAGCAGGTCGTAGTTTACCGCCTTGTGTTCGCTTCACCGGGCTCCTCTCCGGTGCAGTCGGGCTAGCTAGCTAGCAAGCTAGCAGCTGGCTAAACGTAGCGGTAGCATGTTTGCGCTAGCTTGAACCAGAGACGTAGGTTAAATTTCACAAAATGAAGGAAAGCTCGGGGTTTGAAACGCTTTGAACGTCCCGTTGAAACGCTCGCTGGCGGGTGGCGTTTCTACCGGGGCCGCGAACACGAGCTAGTTAGCTTCGCGGTGCGCACAAGCGGTTTCCAGAGCTAGCTAGCGGCTAACGTTATCTTGCGCGAATCGTGGTTTGTTGCCATCTGTCTGGGCTCCGTCTATAACCTGGAGTGGGACGTTTGGAGTCACCCAGTTAGCTTGAGATAACAGAGCCAGTGTGTGTTTCTTATTGATGAAATAACACCGCGTGCTGCATTAGAACAAGATGATCCTGTCTCACTAACGTTACATTTAAAAAAAAAAAAACACCCAAAAGGCTTAAAACACACACTTGTGCCCAGTGACAGGCAGCTGTGATGGACTTGCTTTATTGTATAGTGTCTTATAACATTGTGAAAACCATCTCATCACGCGGAGCTCTCTCTTGTGTTGGAATTTCAGACCCGTTTTTGGTTTCTCCCAAACGGCTCCGGCCCGGGCCTCAGTCCGCGGTCTAGAGTTTGATAGCGGGCGGATTGAGGCTGAAGCACGTCGGTGTGAGGCTGCCCTCCAGCCCGGGTGCCCCCCGGCCACCATCATGGGAGACAGCAGAGGTGAGAGAACAACTGTTCAAATGGCTGCGACACGTCTGTTAACCTGTCAGCTGGAGATTAAGGCCTGTGAACAATATGGACCATGAAGAATCACAGGTTGGATTTAATAATAGAATAATGACGCGTTTTCACCTTAGTGACAGCTGCCAGTGTTGACCTATGACCTTCCACAGCATACAGTCATTGGAACGAAGTCAGACTTGGTCAGACATTTCATTCACCATCTCACTATTGGGTGAATGTAAAGTGCACTTTAATTTAATTACTGATTAACTGAAGTTAATGTGTTTCAGCACTGTATTGTAGACTGTATAATAGATGTATATTGTTCACCACAATAAAATCAGGAAGGCTCGGTCATTTGTTTCTAAAACACAAAAGTCATCTTTTAATAAACCATCTGACGATAGAATTCACCTGCAATGGAAGGACAATGGAGGATTTATTGAATCAGGAACATTTAATAGTGGGGAAAAAATCAAATCTAATTTACCAGCATGACGTTAAAACTCTGCTGCTCTTTACTGGTCGTCTATCAAACCGTGGGATATTAAAATTAGCTTTGTATACTTAACATGGTGCCATAAAGATATTTAATTGATGTGTTTCAATCACCCACTCTGTCATGACTATTTAATCAACCCTCGCTGACCTCTACTGATTTTCCATTCCGCTCTTCTTTCTCAGATTCTCGCAGCCCGGACAGTTCATCTGTGTCCTCCCCTCCATCGGGCCAACGCTCGCCCCCACTGGTTCCCTCAGCTGCTTCCATGACTTCCCTTCCTCCCATCACCACCACCGGAGTCAACAGCCCCATCAGTAGCATCGGCTCCCCCTTCTCTGTCATCAGCTCTTCACTGGGCTCACCCTGCCTCCCCGGCACACCGTCGGTGGGCTACGGCCCCATTAGCAGCCCGCAGGTAAGAGAAGACTGGTCAGGGATCTTTTTTTAATGTAAACTTCTTTTTCAATAATTTGTTTTCATTTTCTCCCACAGGTTCCATTTAGCTTTGTTTTTTTATTTAGCTTTGTTTTAGTATGGTGTCTAGCCACAGTTGAGGATTTACAGTGTGTACGAGATGTTTCTTATTTCTAAATATTTGTTGAGCAATATGAGGAACCATCTGCAGGCTGGAAACTTTCCCTAATTTTGCTGAACCACTGTCTTATTATGTGTATTGATTTTAACATTGATGTTATAGTGGATGATTATAACATTAATTTTACACCCTTAATAAATTTCCCAGCATGCAATAGATTCAACAGTTAATAATTCACATATGTTATACACATATATGCATTGTTAAATCCCTGGATCAACTAGTAGTATCGATGACAGTGCTCTTAAAAATACCTGTTTCTACTTAATGGTGCTATACAAATAAACATACTTAAGTTCTCATTGTATTCACCATAATTTCTGCTCTTGTTGCAGATCAACTCAACAGTGTCCATGTCGGGGCTCCATGCAGTGAGCAGCTCTGATGATGTGAAACCTCCACTGGGCTTGAAGCAGCTGTCACCCCACAGCCCCGGGCCCATGCTTTCCCAGAAACGCCTTTGTTCCATCTGTGGAGACAGATCCTCTGGTGACTACACACCTTAAATAGAACTCCTCTGTTCTGTGCCTTGTCTTTGAGTTATTGCTATAAAGTGTAGATGAATAAAACATTGGTCAGAGCCACTGAACTACTTTAGATTTCAACTCTGAATGTGTCGTCCTTCCTTAATTCATTATCTGGCTCTTTTTTTTTTTTTTCCCCACCTTCCTACAACCTACAGGTAAGCACTATGGTGTCTACAGTTGTGAGGGCTGCAAAGGCTTCTTCAAGCGAACAGTGCGCAAAGATTTGACCTACACATGTCGGGACAGTAAGGACTGTATGGTGGATAAGAGACAGAGGAACCGCTGCCAGTACTGCCGCTACCAGAAGTGCCTGGCTATGGGCATGAAGAGAGAAGGTGAGCAAGCACGAAACTGCACACCTCGAATACTACTTGTTCTCAACCCCTTCTGCTCTGACCCCTGAGAATGAGGCAACTTCTTCTATAAAAGTATTTTAAGCTGTCCTCAAGACTCTTTTTGCTGTTGTTATACATCTGTAGTGTTGGGAAACTGGGATTCAGTACTTTAAAAAATAATTACATTACGTGGCAATCTTTGTCTACTCACAGTCTGAATTATTAAAATCATATCATATTTACCAGTTATCAGTAAATACATTCCATGATTTGGACCAATTAAAAATCAAATACTGCAGCAAAGCATATGTTAAGTGTCGTCATTAGAAATTCATCCATACGTCGTGATTTTATTAGAACCAGTGATAGTGTTAATGACTGGTCACAGCAAATTATCTAGTTTAACCTTCACATGAATCAGACAAAACCTTAAAGGTATACTATGCAGGATTGTCGGCTGATTAAAAGTTTGCTTCTCTCTCAATAGCTGCTTCTGGAGAGGCTGTATGTGTGAATGCAAATGTCTGAGCAAGAGCCTCCACTTTCTGTGGAGTTTCCCCGGCCCCCCTAGTAAAAACTCTGCAGAATGTCCGAAGGAGCTGATGTGAGAACAAAGTAGATCATTCCCAGGAGGTGAGAAGGACAGTCGCCATGATCTTCGCAGCAGAATTAATATGAAACATCCTGCCTCTGCCTGCTCGGCCAACCCTCAGGAGATTTCTGTGTTGTTGTGAACGCATCTGAGCGGAGAATCTGTACATATGTGACAGGCAACCTCCGGAGAAAGTCGGGACCCAATTCTCCGGACATCCTCTGGAGGTCATGTCCGAAAACCGCTTATGAGAGAGCAGCGGTGGTCAAGTGAGCTAAAGAGTGAATGAAGAGAGGGAGCGCTGTTAGCAAGAACAAAGCAGTGAATCAGAGAAACAAATTATTATTTTGTGATTATTTCAATGCCACAAAACTTCACATAAAACTGTGTGGGCGTGTTTGTGTGGGTATGTGTGTGTGCAGCAGTTCAGCCTTACCCTCATACATCCATGACACAGACAGAGAGCAGATAAAAGAAAAGGAGCGATGTTATCTTGCCGCTACAATCATCTCACTTTGGCTTCACTTTTTCCAAGCCGTCATGTCGACCATCTTTATTTAAAGTCTATGCTCTCTCACCTCCTTTTATTAGAGGAGCAGACTCAATCCAGATAAGAATTCAGTTTTTGGTGTCAGAACCTGATCTGAGCCCAATGTTCCCCCCGATTACAGACATGTGCATCTTAAAAAAAACAAGTAAAAAGCCCAGCAGGTGTGACTGAACCCAAATATTTCAAAATGTCTGTCCAAACCCGGCCTCACTACTTGATTGGTGATAAATGCACCACCAAACACGTCCACTGGGTCGTAAGTGATGATGGATAAGGTTTTTAATGAGTCTGTACACTGTTCTTAAAGAAAACCCTGCATAGTTTACCTTTAAAGAACTACAGCCGATCTGTATATGCTGCAGACCCATTTTTAAACCAGCCAGTCTGAGAATATCTGCTGCTGAATCACTTAGAGTCGGGCAGTTTCAGTACAAGATAACTTTACTCTGCTTTCTCAGATTAGATTCGGACTGAATTTCTATGATTTGTGGTCACTGTTGTTAATCTAATGATCACTGTGGCCATTGAGTTAATGCAGATGGAACAAACATTCAAAGCAGCTACTTCGTGTTGCAGGTACTTTTACCTCAAGATGTAAATCCTGAGCGTAGCAACACCACACCTTCAGCCTTAGATGAGATCTTTAAAACTCATTCAAAGATATGGGTATCAGTAATATTTGCACAAAAGACAATAGGAAGATCGAGTACACATTGGTAGAGGGGGAGATGGGGGTGGGTAAGCCTTGTACACACTAACCCCCTTTCCCCCTCTCTTCCTCTTTTTGTTTCCTCTCGTTCTCTCTCCCCCCTCCCTCCTTCTGTAGTGGCCAAGATGAACGACAGATGTAAGGAGAAGAGGGAAGGAGGGGTGTATGTCTGTGCCTGTATGAATGAGAAAGAAGCAGAGTTAATACATTGCATATCGGCCAGAAGGATTTAGTCTAAAGTATTGTACCTAGTTTCAGAGTTCAGACATGGACCAGTTCCAGCCTTGAAATGTTTCCTTTTGGTTTTTAAAGTTAACTGAGTATGAACAATCCTTGTACTCTTTATCCTACTTTATTTTGACGTTACTTGTTGTTTATTCTCACCTGCGAGCTGCACATCCAGTCACAGTTACAACAGTGAGCCACAGAGACGCCACTCGTCTTTTAGGAGCATTAAAGCCGGGTTTGGTAATCCTGGAAAAGCTATAGCCCAGGCAACACGATTGCATCCCTCCCCCTCTCATTGACCCCTCTCAACGCACCCAAAACTCATGAACGCACACTGACTGATATTTGCTAGAAGACGACTTTTCCTACTTCACATGTTTGTGTCTCCGAACGGCTTATTTATTGATGACAAATGAGTAATGCTTTAGATCAGTTAAAAAAAAAAAATGGAAAAAAAAAGAAATGGAAACAGAATTTGGTGGATTTGTTTCAGCGGCAGTTCTTCTGGTTCAGGAAGTTGGGTATTATGGGTAATATCCACTGTTCAGTTGTGTTTCAGTTCAGTGAGTGGGACTATGCAGTCAGAAGCTCCACTCAACACATTAGATAGACCACATTAAAACCACGTCGTCGCTTGGACACTGAGCTCAACAGAAATAAATAACAGTGGGAAGTTCTTCACTGACCAAGCCAGTCACATGGCCTCATTCTACTGAAGTCTGTGGGTGGTACATTTTCAAGACTCGCAGGACCTTTTACTACCAATGTTTTTTTGAACGACAATAAAATGAGAAACGCAGTTAATTTGTGTAAATGACTAAAAGAAACCTTCGCACATGCCAACTTTCAGAAAACCACTGTTACGTGTCATTGTAATTCCCACCTCAATAATTAGTTATTACAACAATAATATGTTTGTTCTGTTTGTCTTCTATGGGCCACTGGTAGTGGGCCTTAAAAAAGTATGAAAGACCGTATGAGAGGCTTTGAATTTATTATGAATTGTACATCTGTGTCTCTGCTTTCCCACTGTTTTGCACATTTTGTCTCACTATTTTGGTCTGACTTTAATTTTTCTCCATTCTTTTTGCCTGTTTTTGCAAACCACCTCCTTCACCAATGTTTTCCCTCATTTCTCCTCTTCATCGGCCACACATCCAATTCTACGTATCTCTCTTTATCCATTCGGTTGGAACGTCCTTTCTTCTCATCCTTCTTCTACTACCTTGGATTCACTTTCTTTTCTGTTCTCTACTGTTGCGTGTCTGGCCCAAATCCCTTTCTTCCCTATCCATGTGCATTCTCTTACACTTCTACCACTCCTGCACCTTAATTTGTCCATCTTGACCTTCATCCATCCTTCCTTCCCCTTCACATTTTCTCCTGTCTGCTCTGTTACTATTTCTCCCTTTCTCCCCTTGTCTTTTATTATTTTCGTCTGTGTTTCCTCTCTGCCCATCCCACAGCTGTCCAAGAGGAACGGCAGAGGAACAAGGAACGAGAGGGCGAGGTGGAGTCGACTAGTGCAGTGAATGAGGAGATGCCTGTGGAGAAGATTTTGGAGGCGGAGATGGCTGTGGAGCAGAAGACAGAGCTTCATGCCGATGGAAGTTCAGGTGGAAGCTCTGTGAGTAGTCTGGATGGTTGAAATTAAACACAACCCATATGCACTGATGTGAAACACTGTAACATTTGAAATTCCATTTAATATAGTTATTTGATAAGATAATCACAAATAATTCTCTAAATCTGCTTTGTTCAGCCCAACGATCCTGTCACAAACATCTGTCAGGCTGCAGACAAGCAGCTTTTCACCCTGGTGGAGTGGGCCAAGAGGATCCCTCACTTCTCTGAGCTGCAGCTGGACGACCAGGTCATCCTGCTACGTGCAGGTAACCTTGAAGAGCTTTGACCTGCTGGGTGGTTTTTGAATCTGTCAAGCTCAGCAGAGGGATGCAGGGCTGCAAAGCCAAGTTTCATCCACAGTCAAAAGCAGCTGCCCCAGCTTTTTGAATCTGTATGTGTGAATTGTCCATAGTGGTTCATAAAATCTAAATTATGACTTCAATGAGAGATCTTTCATTTTCACAATAACGACAAGCAACATTCAGTAATATCAGGTTTTAATAAATATAAAAATACAATTGTAAAATATTTGGGCATTGATTTATTAGAAGTACTCAGACGTCAACTCTTCAACAGGCTGGAATGAACTCTTGATCGCATCGTTCTCCCATCGCTCCATCTCAGTGAAGGACGGAATTTTACTGGCCACCGGCCTTCATGTCCACAGGAACAGTGCTCACAGTGCTGGTGTCGGAGCAATCTTTGACAGGTAATACACAGATGCACACATGTACAAACAGTATAACCCATACAACACTAGTGATTTTCACTCAGGAGTTTGGGTGGAAGACCTAGTTGGAGCGGACATGCCACCATGAAAACATTCTGTTCCCTAGAGAGTTTTAGCATTATGTGATTAAAGGCCTTTCTACTCTACTTTGACATCCACACTGTGTAGGATCCCACTGTAGAATACATCTACTTCTACACAGTATTGTGACCATGTACTCTTAGCCTAAAATAAACCGACCCTGAAAGGCCACAACCTCTGGTTTACCTCTTTAAATCACCTGGTTATTCCACATCAGTCCTGAGAGGTAAATGAGTAAAAAGAACAATACTTTTCTTCATTTATCCACATGAATTTGTCTGTGATGTTTTCACACTCACGGTTTCTATGAGCTACACACGTCATTCAGATCTAGTTGATAAGTGACTTGGATAAGAACTTGGATATTGTGTCTTAGTCTTTGGTTGGCTTGAGCTGCTGTGTTCTACATTGGCTGTGATTGGCTGAGAGACTCTGCTGCTTTAGTGCTGCCTCTAGGGTGACAGCGCATGCCAGGGAGGCTGGTGACTAATGCTTGCCCCGTAGACATGCATGCGCGCGCACACACTCAGTGGCATAGCACCTACTGCAGCATTTGATAATGTGATCGTGGCTGGCTAATGTACAATACTAACACGTCAATTAAAATAGGAAGGTTCAGCGAAATACTCTAATATGTCTTCATATAATAATCTACATCCCATTACTGTACAGGACACTGCAGAGGCCATGGGTTTATTATTTTGTGTTTGCATCATAGAACTAGAAGGGCACTCAACATTGTTAAATACTTTGACTGGCCCAGACGCAGCGAAAGTAATATTATAGAACTTGTGCCTTATATATTCTCTCTAGGATTAGTTTCCACTGTCGGTCATAGACTCTCAGACACTTCCAACTTCAACCATGGCCTCTCCAGTCTTCTGCATAAATGCATCAACTATCAATTTCTGGTTCATGTCATAATGGGATGTTATCAATGCGTTTCAATGCACATTCAGTGCTTGTAATAATGATAATGATAATTATGTTGTTCATTACATCATCACCTGCTTTAATGAAACAAAAAATTGCAGCAAATCTCAATCACCTTAAATTACATCACAACGTGTCAATTCACTGTTAATTACACAGTAATTACATTGTTATAAAGGGTTTATATTGCAGGCAGATTTAAAAGAAGCTAACTGGGCTCATGGCGAACGGCTCAAGGATTTTCCTCTGATTCGTATTCTTTTTTCTTTTTTTTTCTAGCACTGCTCTCTGTTAGCGGCAGGCTTCTGTTTCAGCTTGGCATCAGCATCTGTTTGAAGCTACTCAATCTTATTTTTTCAAGGAGGGCGTAAATAATGAAATATCCGAATTTCTTCATAGCACATTACTTTATTTGAAGTTATGACGGCAGGGGGGCTAAAAGTGCAAAATAACAGACAGCAGAGCCACACAACAGAATGTGATAATTCACGATTACAAGTTGACAAAAAAAAAAAAACAACACAAAGCTGTTTCACATTTCAACATTGTAAAAAGTAGAAAAGCTTGGTGTCCACTATTTGTCATTCTAAGCAGGAGAGGTTCTTGTTCACCGTTCAGACCTGGTATTAACATCCGTCCTGAGAGATCCGATCACAAGTGGTTTGCGTAAAGTTTGTCTGTTCACACCTGGCATTATAACGTGTCACCTGTGATTATATCTCACTTCCTGTTTTATATGCAAGTAATCACGATACCTCATTTGTGTTCGTGAAGACCAAATGATGTTGTGTTTACCCAGTTTGAGTGTGCAAGTGTGTCAGATGAAACTGTGTTGGTGTGTGTTGGCACAAGCGCGCAAACGAGACGAAGAGGAGTCAGGAAGAAAGATTTTAACAAATTTTAAAAAGTGCCCATCATCATTATGTGGTTGTCAGTGTTAATATTGTAGCGGTGGTCCGAAACAATATCAAGCGTAAAAATATGTTTGGTTCATAGTGAAACTGTAGTGTGTCAAAGACCTCGGCTGAGTAGGCCGTCCTTCAAATGTATGAATGTAAAGAATGTATTTGATTCACGTTCAGAGTCGGACCTGAACTTAGAGCTCACCACATGTGATCCGATCACTCAGGACAAATGTTAATACCATGTCTTAACAGGGTCTATATGCTGTTTGGTTGAGTGATTTGTGGACTTCTATTTTCTTTAATCTTGTATTTTGCACTTTGAGGCTCGGTAATTTTCACACAGTAGCCACAACACTTTCTTTAAGCTTAACGCTTTAAGAGTAGCTGTTTAAAATCCAGGGTTTTCAGGTTTTCACTTATTACTTTCATTCTTACTAATTGTTTTCTGCTGTTGCGCATTTGGCTCATAAGGTTTATTATAACCTCCTTTCTGCTTATTTCAATACATGTGAATTAAAGTGGTGCCTTTTTCTAAGACTATATTTAATGATTTTGTAAAACGAATCAATGCTCATCGGAGATCAGTGTTTGGTTGAAGAGCGAAGTTTGAGCCCAGACGTGTTTACTGTGTTCCAACAGTTTTAAATATATCAGAACGTAGCAGTTTTTCTCAGTGCTCAGAAAATATACAGAAAGCTTTCACAACAATGTAACTGTGTAATGACATTGTAATAACACATTGTGATTGAATACACAGGGCGCACAATGCTGAGGTTGGGGCCATATTTGACAGGTAATTACGCCACTACACAAACACTTTTCTTAAAGCCCTCCTCTTGAGTCAACATTGAGACAAACACAGAACCAAAGCACAATGGTTGATGCTTCTAGGCATTTCTGCAGCTTTGCACAAGCCAGCCGGGTTTTTACTAAAAGTTGTTATTGCCCTGAGAACTGTTTGACAGAATAACTCAGTGACCTGTAGGTATATGAGTGAGATGATGGTGATGTACTGCAACACAATATTTGGTTTGTGACATTGATTGCGAGAAACTTCGCCCAATCGTCTGCAGTAATTTCTTCATCTTCGGCCCATTAACGAAGCCTTGCCAGACCACAATGAGAAAATCAAAATGTGAGAGCTAGCTTTGTGAAGCTAAGCTAGCTCAACCAGGACATTAATGGTGGGATGTAGTTGTATGACGAGTATTGTATTGCTCCAGTTTGGATACTAATTCAGGTTTGTTAGTCTTTAGATCCTTTTGGAGGTGTTGAATAAAATATTTCTGCCGCGTGTCTATAAAAACCTTTGTAATCTACTGTGTTGTTGGCTTAGGCGGGTTGAGTTCAAATCCATGTCATTAAAAGCAAATGTCGGTGTCTGCACTGTGGATGATGGAGCAGTAAATAAACTGCCCCTAATGTATATTATTGCACTGCATATCTGAAGAGGCGTGATTAATTCATTCTTAAAATACATATTGACATGTTGATAAGTCGGTGAGAAAAGTAGTTTTTTTCTAAGTTTTGGTTTCTACTGATTGTCTCCATTTTTCTAGATAACAAGAAAGACTGGTTAACAACTGTCTACATCATTGTGGAGGGTATACTCCCCCAAATGTGTCCTCAATGCATCCTTAGATCACTCAAACCACATTTGAAGGTGGCCTGGGACTTATGTGGGCACGTTCTTTTCACTGTGTGAACACAAATGTGTCCCGAGCTACGTATGAAGGGCCGTCCACTCAGCTGACGTCATCTGACATCATCTGACCTGCTGCAGTTTCACAATCAATCGCTTTTTACGCTTCTTTGTGCCCATTCGTTGATCTGTTTTTGGACACCACAACAATATCAACACTGACCACCACATAACGATGTCTGCTTATTTCCCAATGGGAAAATCTTATTCCATTTTAGAGCTGGGTGATGATGTCAACATTTTTATTTATTTTTTTGCCTGAAGTATCTTGGAACACTCCGAAAACGAGACGTCGGTTAATTAAAGTACTTTTATGCACGAAACCCAAAACGAAGGAAAATCATATTCTGTGTCTCACATTTCCTTTCCAATCCAATAACCAGCGCTTAATATGGTAACTTAATGATTTTCCATGTTCGCCTGGTAGAAATTGTGTGTATTGATTTTCAATGGTGACGTGTACACACTAAGAGCGTCAGCTACCGATCCAACACACAGACACACACAGACACACTAATATCAAACACATCTGTAAAGTCAGACTTGGTAAAAAGAACATAATTTGGTCTTTGAAACTTTGAATTAAAAAAAGCATTAAATGATATCAAAAAGTCAATGGATGTTTATTCTTTTCTGCGAGTGAGACTGTATGGATAATATACGAGTGTGTTAGGTCAAGGAGAATTTTCCCCTGATCCCTGACTGTCATTTTGTTTTATATCCTTTCAAACATTGGTTGAGGGCAAGATAGTGGAATGAAGTGGATGCAATAATGAAAGATAGACCATGTGGTAGAAAGACTCAGGTTTCTACTCTCCACTTCCTCTTCCACTTATAAACACAACAAACACAAGCAACCAGTAAATTATTTAGCAAAAACATGAATCAGCCACAGCTTGAAGAAAACCATCCATTTGGTGGAGGCAGTTTTCCACCATGTGTTTTAAACAGCGTTGTGTTTCCTGCTGAACCAGAAGTTCAGTAATTCCCCTGTGGTTTGGAAATCAAGTTATACCTTTGAGCTGTGACCATAAATAAGGTGACTGTTCTTACTCTCCTCCCCCATCCCTCCTCATCCTTTTTATCACTTTCCTGCTCTTGTTCTTTTGCTTCCTTTTATACCTGGCCATCTTCCTCTTGTCTCCAACTGGCGTCCCCCCTTCATATCTCTCCTCTCCTCTCCGCAGGGTTTTGACAGAGCTTGTAAGTAAGATGAGAGACATGCAAATGGACAAGTCGGAGCTGGGCTGCCTTCGAGCCATCATCCTCTTCAACCCAGGTACATTAACGAGTGGAATATTGAAAATCTCATTACGGACAACAAAGTAAGATGGACAAAAAAGAAACATCTGAAAACTGAATGAGACATGGGGAACATGTAAAATATATTTCACATGTTTGAGTATAAAGTTAATGTTTCTCTTTTTTCACCTGCCAAGATGCCAAGGGCTTGTCCAATCCCAGTGAGGTGGAGCTCCTGAGAGAGAGGGTGTACGCATCCCTCGAGTCTTACTGCAAACAGAAGTATCCCGATCAGCAGGGCAGGTAGGCTGTCACTCATCAGACATGTTAACAAGTACAAGATGAGGTGGTTGGTTGAGACAGGGGGCGCTGCTGCTCAATCACAGGTACATTATATTCAACTCCGCAGCTTCAACATGCCACTGCAGCACAAAGCACCTCAGGGAAATATGTTGGACTTCCTTCATGTCTTTATATTCTGACACGTCTTCCTGCTTCACACATCTTCTAAATTAAACGAAATAAAATTATCATTTATATCTGTTGACAGATCAATGGCTATTTCTCACTCTATTCTCCTCCTCATCGCCTTCATTCAGGTTTGCAAAGCTCCTCCTCCGTCTCCCAGCACTGCGCTCCATCGGTCTTAAGTGCCTGGAGCACCTGTTCTTCTTTAAACTGATTGGTGACACGCCCATCGACACCTTCCTGATGGAGATGCTTGAGGCGCCTCACCAGCTCACCTAGAGGAGCCAGGTTGGGTTCGGTCAGGATCCAGTGCACACCAGGATTCCCGTCACGTCGCACCGTGTCGGGTCATTGGCTCCTCTCGTTGAGCCTCACTTAACTGCAGCACCTGCTGGTTTAAATGTACCAGTTCTCACACTTATACACACGTATTCTCCATCATCGGCTGATTATCTTCACTCATCACATGCAGGTCTTTACTTGCATGCTTGAACTGACATAAAATATAACAGCTAATAAACAGATAATGTGGCTCTGAATGAAGATAATGCCAAAACAAAAACACACATACACACACACACACTTTCACCATCTTTTCCGTTACTGTTTTCCACCACAGGGGTTACCATTCAATTAATTATGCCCTTTTATCACACAGCTACAGTAAATGTCTTAATTTTAATTTAGCCTTCAGTTATCACATCTTCATCTCACAGTTGGTTTTTGCTTCTGCGTAACTGGTGTAGCCTACTTCCCCTGTTTTTACTTGGGTTACCTAGTTACACTGCTAGCTGCACCTCTGTATGTTATATCCATCACTAGCCAGTTAGTTATTCATGTTTGGTTTTTAGCTTGAAATCAGGTGCATAATTTCAATCAACTGTCCGCCATCGAACAGATTTACTTCTTATCGGTCAGGAGGTGTCCTGTAACGCACAGGAAGACACACCCTCTCAGTGAGTTAATTCAATCTCATAAACATTTGAAATATTTTATGCTTTTTTTTTTGAATATTCATGCTGAAACTTATTTGAGTTTCTATTTTGAAGTACTGTACTCATGAAATGAGAGCTTTTTCCAAGGCAATGAAATCCAGGAAAAGGGGGTGGGGAGCACTTAGTTGAGCAGACAAACTTAGTCCCTCCCACCCTGATGCGCACAGCGGGCTTTGTAAGACAAGAAGAATGACTTGAATTATTATTTTTTTAGTTTTGATTTAATCCTTTTCTCTACTTTGGCAGTTTGGCATTTTAAACAGCTTGAGGCTCACAGGAAGTTCAGCTTCATGCAAGACAGAATGAGAGTATTTGTTTCTCTATTATCTCCTGCCCCCCCCCGCCCCCCAGAGTCCTCCCTTTGCTGGTGGTCATTGATGCACTTTTGTGAGTTGTAACTGTGTAAATGTTCCTGTTTCCATCTTTTCTCAGACACCTAAGACGACCTTAAAGGTACTATGTGTAGGGTTTTCTCATTATTGCATCATTTTCAAATCAGACTTGATGATTTCGATAACTTCTGAATTGCCCGCCTCCTGCAGCCGGTTGAACTTTTCAGACTCGATAGGTTGCTCCATCATCTGTCCAATGGCCATGGAAGAGAGAAATGATATTCTCTACTCTGCCTGTAATCAGACGGCCTGTATCTCAGTCCTGAGGCCTATTGAGTAAATTAAAAACACGTGTGGTGTTTGATGCGTCTACCCAGCAGTTAAAGTGTCCTTGTGCAAGATACTCGAGCAGTTTTACAGGTGTTGCTTTACATTTAAGATGCTGTGCTCTTTCCTCTCTGTAAAATGAGGTGGAAAAGCTGAATTTGTGTGCAACACAAAAAAACAGCAGTTGAAACTGAAATTATCCGACAATGGAAGTAGTGTTTAATGTTTAATTTCACCTGGTAGCAAATCAGTATTTAATATGCGATGCAGTACTCCTGCAGCCCCGAAAGCCAATGTTGGAATGAACCTTTTTATATGTGTTGTGTTACTGTAATGCAATAATGAAATTAATTAACGCTATGTAAAGGAAATCCTACACGTACTACCTGCAGCTTTGGAAACTTTATTCAGTGTGTATTGGCTCAGTGCTTGCGACTTTTGTACAGTAGATGTAAATAATAAAAAAACAACACCGCAGGAGTCACGCAGAAACAAAGACCTGCTCACACTCGTGAAGGTCCAATATCTGACTCCAACGGACAGATTTAAAATCTTTTTTTTCTGCTGTCGTACCCACGTCCGGTGTGATGACATCACCACGTAATTGTTTTTGAGCCCAGGGCCGAACCACACCTTGCTGCTGCTTTTGCTCCGACTTCTGCCGATGTTGGCCGTTGCCCTCTTCAACAGATTGGCTGGATTTCAATGACAATGGCACTTGACATTTATTGTGATTGAAATTTTTTGGGCAATCGACTCCGAACATTGCAGCGAGAGGTCAAATGCAGCTAACGCTTGATCAGGAGATACAAAGCAAACTATGAATCAACCCATCTAAGTGCTCCGAGATGAGCAACACGTTAAGATTCATTACCAGTTTTTGTTAGTGAAGTATTTAAAAAGAGTGTTGACATTCTGAGGTATATCTAGCCTTCTTATTTGTCACCACATTGAATAGAAATTAGACACTTTTGCAGTATCATTCTACAGGGAAGAGGTACAGCTGTCCTCTACCAGGTGCTAAATAACTAATATGGTCTTTTAGTTTTAAGACTTGCACATTTTCATCAATGCAAAACAGTATGCAAGTACACAGACAAATCAGACAGCCACTGTCCACTCATTGAAATGGTCTGCTTAAGATTTCGTTTTCCCTCTTTGATTGGTTGTTTTTTTTATAATTGTTTGACCCTGAACTTTATTTCAGACTCCCAGCTATGGAAAATGAACACCAGCTACGTGCTTGTACATTTTTGACTGTGGCGGACGAGTGTTTGTCCTCTACCAGACACAGCCAAAGCCTTTTGTATTTGAGAGAGCAGTTCGGCTGGTGGAGGCAATGAAAGTGGCTGTTGAATTTTTGGGCTCCATCAGCTACTTTGACCAGAACGAGCAATGAGCTTCCTGCCCTGCAGATAGTCCAAAAAACGTCTTCTCAGAGAGGATATTCGGTCTCGCCCACGTGATGTGGACTTGGAGGCTGGCAGTTAGACGACCTGTGAGACAGGTGATTTTGTTTGACGCGTCAGTACGTTGGTCTAACCCTAAGAGTTTGGTGTTGTTTTTAGTTTTTCTCCACCCAATGAGTTCATGCAGCCAACTCAACAAAGTAGTCCACTCATTTCCTACATGCAGAGTTCAGTCAGCCTGGTTTGTCAGAGCTGCCACTGCATTTAATGTTTGTTGGCAAAGAAAAGCAAGCTAATGATCTGCCAGGCATCTTTTACTGTCACAGATGTGGCGTCAGTGCTTTATAGCTTGAGCTGGTTCAGATCATACACCTTATATAAAGATGGACGACACATCTCCACCTCCTCCCACTATCCAGAAATAGAAATGAAGCCAAAACATCCTGGATACGAACGCTGTCGTCTTGTGGCGGTGGCGTCATTCGGAGTCAGAGCAGCAATCGGTGGTTGAAGCTGCTGAATCGAAGTGACAGTGACAGTTTCAGCTGTCGATTATGAATGATCCTCCCGTTTTTATATCCTCAAGTAACTAATTAAAATTGAACTTATTTGTGTATGTAACCTTGCAGCGTTGTTTTTTTTTTTTTTTTAATCTAGAGTCCCACACTCGCAAAGACTGTAAATAAAGATGGGCGACGCGTCTCCACTGTTTAGAAATGAAGCCAAAATATCCCTCATACGAACGCTGCCATCTTGGAGCTGGAGTCTGCGCAGTAGCGACCGGGGGATTGAGCCACTCTGTTGAGGTCACGCCAAAACACATGCTTGACCGGTCTCAGCCGTTTTGTGATTAAAAACCAAACTGATCAGAAACATGAACAGTTGAACATCAGTGTGATGAGAACGATATCAGATGAAACTTTTTATTTTGGTTCATGTCCCATTTGCAATCAAGACACTTCGGCTTCACTTCTTTGAAGCCATCCTGTCGTTAATCTTTATTTGGAGTCTCTTGTTCAGCCGAACTTTAACTGTCAGAGACTTCAGTGAAATGGATTTTGCGGCTTCCAGACTTTGTGATCTGGATTCGAGCTCATCTACGCTTTGAGAAATTTGCTGTGGGATGAAGTGGTCGTCTGTCAGAGAGGAGGCCGACTTTAAATAATCTCGTCTTTAGTTTGGTTGACGTCTCAGTGACTTCCTCTGCAGGGCTTTTCTCTTGGAGTTTCCTCTGTTGAATGTTGAAGCCTGCTGCTACTGCGTCATGTTTATTCCTGGGGGATGGGAATGATTACGCTTCCCAGTCGAGTGCTGGAGCATCCGCTAGTTGACATTAAAAGACTAGTCGCTACACATCTGACTGAGCAAATGCCATCTTTGTTGATAATCCATCAAAAAGTAAAAATATGCAACTTGTATATTTGTATTGTGGTAACTTGGTTAATCAGTGGTCATGTGCATTGTGTTTCTGGCATTCGTGAATTCAGCTTCGTCTCTGCTACATGAGCTCACATTGATTGGCGGTGAAATTATTGAGAATTCTCAGCCCTCCCTGATAAAACAATGCATTTGAGTTTTGCTACGTCTTTTCTATATTTCTCTATATTTTGCTATGAGCTTAGGTCATTTGGAGAATGGTAAACATACGGTAAAAAGATGAAGCTAGGAGCTGGTGGTTGGGAACTTTTTTAGCATTTGTACGGGGTATGTGTGGCCACATGTGTACGCTTTTATGCACACGTGTATGGAGTCTTTCTGCAGCTACGCCTTTTTTGACTGGCAGATACTGTAGCTTTGGCTGTGATATGCTGGCGGCTGGTGAAACTGATTCGTTGAGCAAATATGATGAAAGGATGCACAGAGGAGAAGGAGCCAGGCTGGAGGGGTGAGTAACTGTTGACCTGATGCTTTACCAACACAACCCAGCCTCCTCCTTTCCTTCACTTTGTCCACTGCTTTACTTTAAACGCTTTTAAACGAGTATAACCGGCTTTGCATTGGAATGGACTTGTAAAATTAAACTATGATTCTTGGACTGTTTGACGAGGATGTGAAGCTTTTAAGTGGAATAAGCGTGGGAGAGCTGTAAGGAAGGGATTCAGTGCCGTGTGTCCCTCTTTGCTTTACTTTACTTGACGGCAGAGCAGCGACGATCTGCGGTCGCCGTGGGACACCGCCGGATCGCACCGCGCCGCCCACAAAATGTTTGTCGTTGCAACCGTGTGCACTCAAGGCAGACGCATGCTGTGACCTTTTGACTGTGTAGCAGTATTGTTGTCGCCATCTTTGTTACATTTTGAAATTACTCACTTTTTTGAAAATAAAGACATGAATTAAATATGCTTTTCTTGAAAAGGATTGCAGGCTGTGACTGAAGAATCGATCGCCGTGTATAGATTAGATATCAGGGTGGCGTCTTCACCTATTGACACAGGCCCCCTGGAGCCGAGGCAGATTCCCATTATGGTCAATGAGGTGCAGTGTGTGCTATGCAGCCTTGAAACCACCACCGTCACTGGTTTGTTTATCACTGCCAAGCTGTTTGCAGATGTGGCTGTTTCAGATGCAGGCCACTCAGTCCCCACTGCTTGTTTTGTCATGTATGTTGTGATTATTGTGCCACGCGCTCAACAGTGCGCTACCCTTGGCCTGTGTAGTGCATACTAAAAAGGGGCCCTAATAAGAAAGGAATGACAGCTCGTGTGGAGAGGGGAGGTCTGGTCACAGGAGGGAGAAGGAGACCAGTGTTTGGCCCTCTCTGGGTGCTCAAGCTGTGCATTGGTGCTTTTTGCAGGGCCCCCCCCCCCAGCCTGAAAACGTCTATTTACCAAGACACAGGGACTTAGTTTTATGAGTGAAAAGCAAATAAGGAATGATTTCAGAGGGCCTCATCCCAAACTTGCTCTTCTTCGGTTGGATTTTCTGCAACAGCAACTTGACGTGTGTTTTCTGTGGCTGTAGCTGTAAAAAAAACAAAACCCAGATTTCAGATTGTGAGGAAGAAGTTGTGGCCCAGCGGAATCCACAGGTGTGGTGACACGGGATGAATCTGATGGGAGGGATGAAGTGAATACGACTGAAGGAGGAGGTGAAGGGCAGTTGAGAGAGAGGCGGAGGGAAGGAAAGAAGGGCAGGGACTCAGAGAAATCATTTGTCGACTGAAGTAAAATGGGAAAAAAATTAAATTTCCAGTAGATCTAGAATCTTCCTTAATTGTTTACTCTTCATCTTTAAAATGCACACAGTGTTTCTTTGTCTTGTTTCCTGTCTCCCTCTTTTTCAACTGCGCTATTCATCTTTTGTTTATTACAAAGTATTAAACAAGTAAGAGAACTGTAAAATCAGAATGGAATCTGTCACTCTCTTTCTCTAGTGTCTGTCCTTTGTCCTGTTTGTATCCTACTCCATCATACATGTGGAGCTGATTGACTATTGTGTGCTTTGGGGATTGAAAGAGGAAAAAAAAAATAATCTGAATAATTTTTTCAGTCATTAATTCTGAATCTTGTTTCTGTTTGTTGTATCATGTCTGAGTAAAGGTTTTAATACTGTATGTCAAGTGTGTTTCTTTTCTTATTTAAGAAAAAGACTTTTTGCATTTTAAACCTGAAACAAACCAACTGTAGTTTAATGTTTGAAACACAACGCAGATTAAAAAATGACCGTTTCCTTCAGGCTCCACATAAAACACCCACTCTCTCTTTCCATGAAGTGGAACGACCCAGCCGGACTCGGACCGTGTCCTGGAGAGACGATGGTACGCTCCTCAGTCCAGCAGGACCCCAGGGCCCCGGCGACTGCTGGCACCGCACTCCCACCTTCCGACCTCCAGAGGGAGCACTGACCTCTTGTCCTCATCCAACTTTCTCCAGCTGTGCACTGCTGGAGCCCCCCCCCCCCCCCCCCCCTGTCATCTTCGTCAGATTTAAGGTGGTGGGGGTGAAGTTACTCTGTATTTCCTCCACGCCTACTTTTCATGCCTCGGCCAATAAGGACGCAGCAGTACCTCGATCAGAACATTTGCACTGGTGGCTGTACTCCCTCTTCCACATATTTAAATGTTGACACGGATAGAAATATGTGTGTGTTTGTCTCTCACACGCTTTCAATACCTCTGTCTCTCGTCCCAGCTCCGTCAGTCTGTCTCCTCCCTCGACTGTCCCCATCCAGAACATGGTCCGGTGTCACTCCTCTTCCTCCAGAGGCCGTAGAGCCCCAACTCTCTGCTCGGGGCCTGAAATGATGCAGAAAATGGAGGTTCCTCCAAAAAGAAGTTGCTTCAGTCCCTGTTTTTCAGTTGTGTTTGGTCAGTTATCATGTTCCTGCAACTCAGAGTATTTAAAGGCCTTAAGCAATTTTACAGGATGTTACTTTCACATATTTTTATTGGCACTATTGATAAAATCACCCCCCAAACTATGGTTTCTCCATTGAAAATACTTCTGAGTAGTTTCCTTAGATCCAGTTCTGGTGCCACCATGTGGAAGACTCGACTCAGCAGTATTTAAAGTATTTTTCCCTCATTTGTGGTCGGCCTTGTTACAAAATCCTCCAGCATCTTTTATTTTTGTGTTTTATTGAGTTTAGGATTCATTCACACTCTCTCCACCGAACCCAGCACAGGCGTTGTGGTGAAAGTTTCCCTGACTGAGGACGAGTCAACGGAGACAAATGAGTCGGAGGCTGAGCATCACCTCTCCGGACGTCTGAGCCAAGTGTGCCACTGTGGGATCTGCTTCTGTAGTACCGGCAGCTGCCAGCAGAGAGCGGGCACAAAGAGCTGTCTGTTCAGGAGCTTGTCAGCAGCAGCATCATATTTAGAGAAGTAAGTTTCACATGTTGAATCAGGAAAATGTGATGAAGTTAAACGAGGACGAGCTGAGAAACAAGTTAGATTTCCACCAGCACAGCACACGCTGACTTCTTGTCCTTCCTTTAGCATCTTTGCCAGTTTGTCCTTTTCTCCTCTTTCTTTTCCTGCCTTCACTTGTTCCTCTTCACCATCGTCTCTCTCTGTGCTTACACCCACATTCACCTTTCCTTTACTCTCTCTCTCATTCTGACTCCATGCTTTCCATTTCTTTTCAGTGGCCTTTTCGTTCCTGCCCTCCTCTATCCCCAGTCTCCTTCTGGCTCCAATTTATCACCCCCCTCCCACCCTCCTGGTTCTCACCCCTTCCCCTCCCCTCCAGCGCTGCAGAAAGACACCTTTATACCAGGGGTCAAATTCCTCCTAATTTCTGCCTCGAGAAAAATGTCAATTTTCGCCAGGTGAATGTTGTCGCTGTGCACTGAATAATCAAGCCATGTTTGAAGTCACTTGCCAGCAGCGAGTTGGCAGATCCTGTGTGTTAGAAATACCCCACACATCGCACTTCTATACACACACACACACACACACACACACACACACACACACACACACACCTGAGGTAGACAGAGCATCATTGAGTGTGTGCACCCTGTAGACCAAAAAGCAGAGCAGCAAGATGTCAGGTGTGTTTGCTGCTCTGTTGTTTTGTCTTCTCTGGTTTGACCTACACAGTAAAATAAAAACCATCACACACACACACACACACACGCCCCTCTGAACTTCAGAGTTGCATAGTTGTTCTTTTCTCTGCAATAAAGAACTTTTATTTAATTTGACATTTAAACAAAAAGTTGTAGTTTTTTACAACACCACCAAACTTTAATGAGTTCTTCCCTGATTCATGTTGCATCCTTCCACCAAGTTTCATGTTAATCCAACCAGTAGTCTCTGTGTAATATCGCTCATAATATCGCAGTATCATGTCGACAGTAAAAGTAAAAAAACGAACATTAGTGTGTAATTTTAGCCACATTTATCTTTTTATGGCATAAAAAAACCAACTCTGTGCTCAGTTTCTTTTGGTCTCTAAGGTCCAGACAGTTGGGATGGGAGGAAACGCTGGAATGACAAGTGACAACATTTAGCAAAGCCAAATTACTGGTCAGCCACTGTCCCCGTGTTCTTTGAGCTGTAATGACATGCTGGGTATATACAGACTGAATCTGAGCCAGGGTGCACTTACAGACGACGGCGAGCAGCCTCCTGAGCTGAGCTAAATCTGGGTGAAGCTGAGAATGGGTCCAGCACAGAGGTATATAATTCCACAGCTGGGGGAGGTTGGTCTTGCTTTCTAATCAGAGGGAACATGGAGGATAAAAATATGTGAGACGAAGACATTTGCTGGAAAAAAAAAATGTTTCATCATCATGAGCCACTGGAAATATGATGAACACTGTGTTCCAACGTGAAACCACAGGAACTTTACTTGAATATAAAGAACATGTACACTATGTACTCCGTTACTGTAATGTAGGCTACAGTACATACTAACACATTCAATTAAGATACGTAAGAATTAACATCACACCAGCAGCCACATCACTTTCATTTTTCAAGACGTAAAAAACATCAAAGTGGAACGAACTGTTGGTCGCCTGTGGACTGATAGAACTACATGTCACACAATGATGGATCAGTAATCATCTCTAAGGTCGGAGACACAATCCATTTTCCCAATAGATTTAGCAAAAAGGAAAACTTTCCAGTGTTTGAACCTCAGACTAAAACCATTTTCATGTTAAAGCTTCTTATTAATATCAAGGACATTTTGTAGAAAGCGGCGAACACCAGAGATGTTATGTTAACTTGTTCGACCTCCTGTTTGTAGGACTGACTAAAATGACACTTGTCCTCTGTCATGACAAGAGAGGCTGGGTGTGTGTGGGGGGGGTGTTTTCTGTGTGTGGGACTAACGAGCTCTCGTCTTTGTTCCAGCAGCGAACGTGAGGGGAATGAAAAGTGTCAACAACGGGAAACTGGTGGAAGAGGGGAGAGTAGATGTGAAGACAGGAGAAGAGGAACAGGGAGGGAGATGTTTTCATTCTGCAGCTTCGCCGTTATTTATCCCGCTGCCTCGGCAGTGGTGCTTGATTTTTTGGGTGATGGCCCCCGGATGAGACGACAGCGAGGGTGGCGCTCTTTGATTGGTCCTCGGAGGACAGACAGGCTGCAGCGAGCTCATGGTCATAAACAGCTCAGATTGTTTTATGGCTGTTTTTTTTCCTGACCTAATTAACTGGCTGCTGTGTCCATGTTCCATTAGCCGCCACGCTCAGCCTCTTGTGTTTGGAAATCAACAGCTTGTTTCTGTGTGTTTGATCTTTTCTGGCTTCATCCCTGGGACAGTGTCACTGTGGCACCGGCTCCTCGTTCTCCTCCTCAGTCCTTCCACCGTCGTGTCTTCTGAATCATCTCATCCTCTTGGATATGTTGTAGTTTGACATTTTATATTTTTCTTTCACCTTCACCCATGAAAGCTGCCCAGAACAACGACGGTGAACACGTTTTAAAAGAGCATCTTATTGGTCGTGATGGCAAATGCTGATCGTAGTCTTTCTCCTACTGGTGTGTAGCACGTGATTTCTGGCAGATCAATCGTAAATGCGGCCCTGTCCATTTTTTTGTTGGTTGGTTTGTTCCTGAGCAAGATGACTCAAAAACAACTGGATGGATTTCCATGAAGTTTGGTGGAAGGATGTTGTGTGTTTTAGGAAAGAGCTCATTAAAGTTTGAAGCAGATCCAGGATTGTTTCTTCTCTTTATCATAATGTGAAAGGTTTTTTTTTATATTTTCACACATCCCAGAGAATAATTCATGGGTCTTGATGACATCCGGCAGGTTAGGGGACTAATATCTGTTCAATTGAACTTTCTGGAGGTATGAGCGAGTGACCATCGTATTCTGTGCTGCATGTTGTCCTCTCTGTCCTATGACCTCAGCAAGCACGTTCCCCACAACTTGTGTTGCAAGTTAACTCGTCCTAAAAGCTGCTTCCACAGCTCGGGCATGGCTCAGCTCCGCTCTCACGGAGGCCGCGGACAGAGGGACTCCTCAGCTGGCCGGGGTCGGCGAGGAATGCACCCGGGGAGAGGGAGGGAATGTACCACAGGGGTGTTGAGGAAGGGGGTGGGGTGGCAGCGGAGGAAACACAGAGGGGGGAAACAGAGGGGTCTTTTGTGAGACAGGAAGCTGCTGAGACCAGGGCCCTCTCTCTGGGTACAGTAGTGGAGCAGAGAGAAACCTGGGATATGAGAAAGATGTGATGGAGGGAGGAAGACGAAGGGCAGCGAGGAGACACCTGGGAGGTGGTGGAACAAGACCCTGAAGGATTTAAACGATGGCGTAGAGACACAGGAGACTTGATTGAGAAAGTCCATCAAGTGTAATTAGAAACTTTGACAGATCCACTAAAATCTTTTGCAATTTTAATCTGAGCAGGCGCTTATAGAAATGAGCATGTGACTGGAAAGTCACCAGTTGTGTGGAGTTTTTACTTCTGCTTTGTTCAGCGCATCAGTGCGTTTATATCAATATCCTGGATGTACGGACGCCGTCATCTTGGGTCCATATCCCGTCAACTAACCTATACTGCAGCCAGCCACCAGGGGTCAATCAAGATGATTTGGTCTCAGTTTTGGGCAGCTTTATTCACAGTCCATGGTTCCCTACACGTGGAT